CAGCACACTGTCTAGCAAAAGTTGTAAACACAAAGTAATATTGCAAACGAAAAAATTAACATAATATAGCCTTAGAAGAATTTTATAATTTACATTTACAATGAATACGATTAACGTCCTCCAAACGATAAGTTCACTTCTCCGATAATTCATCGTAATTAGTCTATAAACGTCTGTTTAATGTTCTGTTAATGAGAACGCAGTAATTTTTAATTTTTTTTAATAAACTCAAATTCAAATTTTTTTTACGAGATCTTTGTAATTTTTTTTTTTTTTATTAAACATTTTATAGGTATTTATATTGTATTTTATTATAAAATTTTTATATTTTTATTTTATATTTTTATTTTATATTTTGTTACCTATAATAATTTTTTCTTTTAGAAAATCTTTTACATTTTATAATATTTATATTTATATTTACAAATATTTTTTTTTTATTTTTTCAAATCGAACCAGTTGGATGTGAGATTTATCTGGATTGGAGTAGAAATGAACTTGTTGAATATTTATTTATTTTAGTGCAGAATCAGTATAATAATAAATGTTGCAATATTTTAGAGATGAAAATTTTTTTATGACTTTTGACGTACTCATTATCGTAATTTTTTATTAGTTTTTTATTTCCTTTGAATTTTAATGTATACAAAAACAATTTTGATAAATTATTTTTTCACTAAATTATAAAATAAATTATTTGACTTGATTATAAATAAAATATTTTACTCAATTGTAGAAGTTTTTTTTTATTTACTTCTAAAAAGATTATTATTTGATGCAATTGTAAAAAAATTGATCGATTCAATTGTAAAAAAAAAATATTTGACTCAATCATAAAAGGAATTATTTGATTCAATTATAAACAGAAATTTTTTACTCAATTTTAGAAACAAATTTTTTACTCGATTACCTAGAAAAGAATTATTTTATTTATTTCTGTTTAAAACTATTTGATTTAATTGTAAAAAATTTGTTTGATTCATTTGTAAAAAAATTATTTGACTTAATTATAAATAAAAATTGTTTGATTCAATTACAGGGACAAAATTTTGACTCAAATTAGAAAAGAATTATTTCCTTTCCTTAAAAAAAATTGTTTTATTCATTGTAATAAAAATTGTTTGTCTCAATTATAAAAAAAAAATTTAATTCAATAAACACAAATTTTTTACTCAATTTTTATAATTCAGTTAAAAATTAGTTGACTTCATTCTAAAGAAATATTAAAAAAATATTATTTGACTCAATTTATAAAAAAAAAATTATTTGACTCAATTGTAAAAAATATTTTGATTCAATTATAGTAAAAATTGACACAATTAAAAGAAATTATTAAGTTAATATTATTAAATTATTATTTAATCGAAAATTAAAAAAATAAATTAAATTATAATAATCAAAATTGTCAATATTTTGTTCGTACTGTAAAATTTAGCAAATTATTTTCAAAACAAAACGTATAATAAAATTTTATTCTATTTTTTCAGTAATTTTTTTAATTTGTCTATTAATGACACGACTTGTTAATAATTGCAAATATTTTTATTTCCCTAATTCCTTTAGATTTGTTAAAAAAGAAAAATTTTCGAGAAGAAAAAATTTTAATTTTGTTAATTAAAGTCGTCAAATTTTTTTTTGCTATTATTTTCATAGTACAGTGTAAATAAAAACATTTAAATAATGAAGTAGCTTTTTTTTGTTTAATTGAAATTAATCGCATTTAAGTTAAACGTTTCACAGATAATTAAGCAATTCCAAACAAGAGAAGAAAATTAGTATCAGATTACCGCACTTGCAACATAGTGTGTAGCACGTGCGACATACTGTAACAGATTATAATTGACTCAATTATTACTATAATATACGTATATATATATATATATACCGTTTTCTCAAACGTTACAAAAAAGAACTCTCGGACCTCTTAAAATTCTTTTTAATTTACAAAAAAAAAATCGTTGAAAACAAAACAATTAGTTGAGACATTGCTGTAAATAAATGTAATTTATCTTTTGGAAATTTTCAACAATTTTAAGTTTTTTTTATTATACATTTTTGACAATTAATCAATTTTTCAATTAATGACAATTAATTAATTTTTCAATTCATGAAAATTAATTAATTTTTAAATAAATAAAAAATAAGTAATTTTTAAATTAATAAAAATTAATTAATTTTTCAATTAATGGAATTTAATTAAAGTTTTAATTAGTAACAATTAATCAATTTTCCAATTAATGGAAATTAATTGCAGTTTTAATTAATGACAATTAATCAGTTTTTGAACTAATGAGAGATCTCACTAATGACAATTAATTAATTTTTCAATTAATGAAAATCAATTTTTCAATTATCAACATGATAATTAAATAACAACGAAAGAAAATTAACAAAAACATAAAATGTTTAAAAATTTTACATTCAAGTGAATTAAATGTAAATTCTTTTTTGTTTTGAGAATCTAATTTTCTTATGAGGAGTTATCTCCTTTTATTTACGCTTATACAATTTAATATATCAGGTCATTCACACAAGCGATTCTTTTATTAGTTGACCGGGACTAATTACGTCATGAATTTTTTTTTTTACGAAAATATGCCCCCATATATTGAATATAAATGAGTGAAAATAATTTATTTTTGATTAATAAAAATTTTTCATTTATTGTATAAATATATTATTTTATTATTATTAAATTATTGTAGTTATTATATTGTTTTTAATTTATTGCATTTTATTTTTATTTTATATATTATTGTAGGTACTATTATTAGATTTTTTTTAATTATTATAATATATATTATTATTATAATTATAATATCAAATTAATTACACTGTAAATAATTTTATTTGATTCAAATAAATGATTATTTGCGTCTATTATCAAATAAATATTTATGTGTATCAAATAATTTCTGTATTTAAATTGATTATATGCTTCAAATGCTGAAATCATTGGTTCAAAGATAATTTTTTTGATTTAGATAAAAATTATTTGATTCAAGTAAATATTTATTTGATTCAAGCAAATATTCATTTTATGCAAGTAAATATTTATTTAATCCAAGTAAATATTTATTTGATCATAAATAAGTAATCGATTATTTAAATCAAATCAATTTTTTATCAGTGTATTATAATTACATAATTTTTCTTGGCAATAAAAAAATTATATCTTGGAAATTTCATCAACTTTTTTTTTTATTTTTCATGTAATTTTATTGATAATAGAAAATATGAGTAAAAAATTGTGTTAATAAAAATTAACTTTTTTAAATGAATTTTTTTTTTAATTTTACTAATAAATAGAAATTTTTACTAATTTATTAATAAAATTTACTAATTTGAAAGCAAAAATTCAATCACTAATTCTAATTTAGAGAGTAATAAAGAAATAAAAAAAATAGCAACAATAATTAAAATAGTTATTAAAATTCACCTTTTTTCAAACAAATAATGTTACAGAATTTTTCTAACACTAATTAATTAAACTCATTTTTCACATTATTTCGGTATTAACATTTTATTTTTTCTTATTAATTATAAATAATATTTTTATTTATTTATTATTTACTTTCAATGCGTAGAAACGAAACAATTTAGTTATCTATTTTTGATATACTAAAAAGTTGATAAATTTGTCATTGTTTTATTATGAAGATAATGTAATAATATATTTGTAATAAAAAATTATATACCTAATAATAATAATTAAAATAATAAATATTATAAATAAAGAAAACTTGTATTATTAAACATGTTATTAAGTCAAAAATAGAAAAAATCACTGAAAAAAAAATCAAAAATAGAAAACTAATAGATGACAGAATTATTCAAAACCAAATCAAAATTGAAGATACGAAATCAATTATTCAAAATTGATGAGAATTAAATTATTTGAACACGCACTTATTGTATTTTTCTCAAAATAAAAATGAAAAAAAAAAAACAAAAAATGTTCAAAAGAAAAAATTAATATTGTCACTATTATTTTTTTTTTATTAATCCTTTTAGACGAAACACGTTTTTATCACATCTTTAATTTAACAATACTGCTTTTTTTCCACTGAACCGAAAAATTGGCGAAAATTCAAACAATTTCACACTGTTTATATATTTCAAAAGAAATCCTTGGAAAGTGAGAGTTACGTTTATTTTTTGGACAAAACCCAAATAAATATATATTATATGTTTCGATAAACAAAGAAACGTAAATTTTTTTTGTATCAAATTAAAATTTTGGTAAATATTTTAATAAATGATTTAATAAATGAAAATTAATGAATAAAATCTAATAAATCAGAGAAATGAATATTAAATAATTATAAATTATTAATGCTACTAAATCACATTATTAAAAACGTAAATAAATAATAATTTATTTATTTAACAAGTAAATGGGTCACAAATATTAATTAATAATTATTTAAAAAAAAATATAATAATTAATATAAAAATATAATAAATTAATTATTATAATTTATAATTAATAAATCAATAATAAATTTGACAAAGATAATGTATTAATTATAATTATATTGACAGCAAATTATATTATTAAAAATGTGAATAAATATTTATTAATATAAATAAAAATATTTAGTATTTATTATTTAACATAATAATAATAATATATTTATTAACATAAATATTAATATTAGATACTTAACAATAACCTACAAACCGACAACCAATTTTTGCAATTGTAATTCATGAATTATAATTTTTTTTTATTTAAATTTATAATATTTATAATTATAATTTGTAATAATTCGTGTCCATAAATGATCTTTGGGATTAAGGGCTGTATAGGTTGGTAAATAAAAGAATTAAGTAAAACCAAATAATAATAATAATAAATAAAATGAATAAAATATTATTACTCATTATTCGATAAATAATACACAATTATATCAAATTATATGAACGCTTGTCAAAAATTATACTGAAGCTCAAAGAAAAGGAAAAAATTAGAAATTCGAAAATAATTTATAACTCACCGATTTTCTGGCTGGTAGAAATCCGAAGAAGATTCGGATCCAGAGTAATAACACTGACAACCATTTTTTTTTTTAAAGTCCCTCGTGAAGTAGTTTCTCAAAATATTTCGAAATTTTGAAAAATCTTCTCACAAAAAAAAATGAGAGAATTTTTTTTTTTCTCTTTCTTCAAATCACAATGAATTCCATTTCGACAGTAGAACAAGAAGCTACTGGTGATGCGTTGCGTTCTCGATTCCTCAGATTCATTGGAGGAGCTCTCTTTTAAATACAGGGCTGACAAAGTGTTGTCAATCTTTAATTGATAATCACAATGATTATTATTCCCTTTCCGCTGACAGTGAGTTGGGGAAAAGAAAAAAAAAAAATTCTTCTTTTTTTTCTCCAAATGTTTACACTATATTATATTTGAAATGCGAAACAAATGACAAAAAAGATTCTCCCCTTCCTTCCTTTTCCTAGCCCCAGAAAAACTTATTCATTTGTATTTATAATTAGATAACGCATTACCCCGCAATGATAAAGTATAAATTTTTTTTTATCTGTAATTCTTATCGAAGAGAATGATTTTTGTTTTATCAAAAAATCATCAGTTTTGTCCTAATGTAAAAATAAGCTATTTGAAAATTTTTGTCTAACAGTTAATATATCACCTCGTATAATATGCGAAGAAGGTTGTAATAAAACTATTAATGAAAAATCAAACAGTCATTAACTTACCAAAACTGAAAAGGTCATATTAAGAGGTTTATTTAACCCACTATTGAAATTAATCTCATATACAAACATTTTCTTTTATTTTACAAATAATATTTCATTTACCGGGCTGATTATTATTTGTTTCTATAGGAATAAAATTTATTTTTAGAATTTTTTCTTTTTAGAAAGAAAATGATAATTTTAATCGATATAAAATTAAATGATAATTAATCAAAAAAACAATTTCAATTTCCTCGATGATTATGAACTATTTGTCTATGCAATATAAAATTTATTTTTCGAATTTTTTTTCACTGAAAAAAATGGTAATTTTAATCGAAATAAAATTAAATAATAATTAATCGAAGTAATAATCAATCAAAAAATATTTCATTCAACGGACTGACTATAACTATTTGTTTTTAATAAAATTTATTTTTCCAATTATTTTTGGTGTAATTTTTATTGAAATAAAATTAAATAATTAATTGAAAATAATATTTCGTTTATAGCGCTGATTATTAATTATTTGTTTAATACACAAAATAAAATTTGTATTTAGAATATTTTTTATAGGAAAAAAAATAATACTGTTAATCAAAATAAAATAATAATTAATCGAAAACGATATTTTATTTACTGGGCTGATAATTAATAACAAATAGTTATTTGTTTATAAAAAATAAAATTTATGTTCAGAAAAAAAATGTTCTTGTTAATCAAAATAAAATAATATTTAATCAAAAACAATATTTGTTTATAAAAAAATTATTTTTCAGATTTTTCTTTTTAGATAGAAACTGTTATTTGTTTACATAAAAAAATTTACTTTTAAAATTTGTTTATAAACAAAAAATTAGATATTGTTAATTGAAATAAAATAAAACAATTATTAATCGAAAAAAGTATTTTATTTACCGTACTGATTATTGATTGTTTATACAAAATAAAATTTATTCTTCGAATTTTTTTTTTTCGTAGAAAGAAAATGATAATTTTAATCAAAATAAAATTGCATAATTATTAATCGAAATAATAATCAATCGAAAAAACGTGTCAGTTAATTAAATATTAGGTTCGCTTACAGGTGTAAAAGGAAAGCAAACGATCTGTCGCATCGCGTCGGTAGAAATAATAAATAAATAAAAAAGCTAAAAGTAAAAAAAAATGATAGAAAAAAAATATTTGAAGTCACTAAAAAAATCATTATTATCATCACAATGTTTATAAATAATTAATTTTGTAATTACTGAATGTATTCCCATAATGACATTAGAAATCAATTATAAATCAATATTTATAAATTTAGTTTATTTTTATTTTTGTCTTTTCTATTTTTAATCATCGCCTGATTTTCAAAAAAATAATTAATATCTGATTTAAAAAAAAATAAAAAGCGTCAAGAAAATTAATTAAAAAATAATTTAATTTTCCTCCAGAAATTACGATTGTTCAATTTTGAAATTAATATTAAAATATTAAAGAATTTTTTGAACATTCACAGTTTTTTAATTTTTATTTTACAATCAATAATTTTTTGATAATATTTATTTTGAAAAAATATTTATAATATTTTTTTATTTTATTTCTTATTTTCTTACGTTAATATCATTAAATTAAATAATAATTAATATAATAGAAAAAGAAGTGTATTGGAAAATGTGAAATAAGGGAAATCCCGGTCTTTTTACTCTAGATTTATGATTAGATTAATAAATGGTAATGTAATAATAAAGCCCGAAATTAGATTAGATAATGTTTATTTTTGACCGAAAATTATTCATACAAAATTATATTTCCGTAAATCATGTATCAAATGATTTAAAAGAAGCACAATAATATTATTCTTTTTATTTATAAACAAACTCCATTTAAATTTTTGGGGTGGAAATTAATTTTTCAACAATATTCAAAATAAAATGTAAATAAAATAAAAAATAACAATAAATATTCGAAACGAAAACAAATATTCGAAACAAAAAAAAATATTAGAAAAAAAATATTCGAAACAAAAAAAATATTCGAATTGAAAAAATATTCGAAACAAAAAAATATTCGAAGCAAAAAAATACTCGAAACAAAAAAATAATCAATACAAAAAAAATATTCGAAACAAAAAAAAATATTCGCAACAAAAAAATACTCGAAACAAAAAAATAATCGAAGCAAAGTAAAAAATTCAAATCGAAAAAAATATTCGAAACAAAAAAGTATTCGCAACAAAAAAATACTCGAAACAAAAAAAATAATCGAAGCAAAATAAAAAATTCGAATCGAAAAAAATATTCGAAACAAAAAAAGTATTCGAAGCAAAAAAATACTCGAAACAAAAAAAATATTTGAATCGATAAATATTCCAAACAGAAAAATATTCTAAGCAAAAAAATACTCAAAACAAGAAAAATAATCGAAGGAAAAAAAAAATTCGAATCGAAAAAAATATTCGAAACAAAAAAAGTATTCGAAGCAGAAAAATTCTCGAAACAAAAAAAATATTCAAATCGAAAAATATTCCAAACAAAAAAATATTTGAAGCAAAAAAATACTCAAAACAAGAAAAATATTTGAAGCAAAATAAAAAATTCGAATCGAAAAAAATATTCGAAACAAAAAAAGTATTCGAAGCAAAAAATACTCGAAACCCAAAAAAATATTCCAAACAAAAAAATACTCGAAACAAAAAAAATAAATGCAAAAATATTCGAAACAAAAAAAATAGTTCAAAAATATTCAGAACAAAATAAAAGAAATATTCGAAACAATGTTCAAAAAGAATAAAATAATTTAAAAATAAAAAAAGAATTGAACCTCAACACGGGAGTTATACAATGAACTCTGAGAAGTTCATTTTTATGATACACGTTTAATGATAAAACATAATTATTGCGAGAGTAAAAATAAAATTGTTTTTATTTTACATTAGAGATCACATTGGAACAATTTTTTTTTAATTGAAGATGAAACTGTACATACTGAGAAAAATAAAATTTTTGCACATTTTTTTCAAAATACTTGAAAAAAGAATTGTAATAGAAAACAATTACGTAATTATTTTGGTGAAACGATAAAATTGATAAAGGAAAATAATTAAATTACCTGTAAATATAGAAAAAATCTATTTTATTTGTATTATACAACAAAATTTTGTTTTTCAAACATATTATTTTATTTATTAATATTTTTTTATTATTATTTATTATTGTTATTACTATTTATTATTATCAATTATCAATATTAATTAATTTATTAATAATTTTTTAATTTGATTTTCTTTAAAATTACCATTTTCTTTCTGTGAAAAAAAATTGTTAATATAAATATTATTATTCTTTTTATTATTGAAAAATTAATTTTATTTGTGAATTATTCTAAGAAAATTTGAAAGATTTACTATTTTTATTATCATTATTATATATAAACATAATTTATATTTCGAATAAGAAAACTCGAAATTGCGAGTAGTAAATTAATTTATAAATAGAAAATAATAAGTACATTACGAAAATTTCGATATTTTGTAGAAAAATTACGCATATTTAATAATTTTGTTTTTTTCAATGTCAGGTTTATTTCGACACACTATAGTCAAATAAAATTATGTCACGTGTTTTAAAAAATGACATGTTTAAATTTCTATCTATGTCAATAGAATTAATTATAATAATTATATTGACATTATTTGAAATTAGGTTACTAAAAAATTCTATTTTTTTTCCCAAAAATACTGTAAATTTTCTTCCATTAAATTCTTTTCAAATCTTGTGCGTATAATTCAATATACGTGTGTATACAAATATTGTTTATATAGGAACTTTTTTTTTAATAGGCCATTAATTTTAATTCCATATATGAATTAGAGTTGGCTTGAAAAATTTTCTGATGTACTTATTATTATCGGGTTAATAAACAGGAAACATATTGAGATTTACGTCATACAGTCAATTCTTTCTCCAATATTCTCCACACACGTGGACGCGCACTTTCTTTCTAATAAACAAAAAAATTAATTTTTGGCAATACTTCTTTATTAAAATATATTCAAGTACACAGTTCTTTTGAATATTAATAAATGTCGCTTTTCTTGAAAGATTGTAGAATATTATAGAAAATTAGAAAAATATAAAACTGAAAAATTAGAAAATTAAAAAATTATACAAAATTAGAAAATATTTTTGTAGAACATTTTTTTTTATAATACTTTTGTAGGACATTTTTTCAATTATTTTTTATAGAAAGAAACGATTTTCAGTACAAAATTTAATAGAATCTTATTTATACAATATAAAATGGAAATTTGAGAAACAATGTTGAATAATAGTAGAGAGTAGAAAAGTAGAAGTAAAGAGGTAGAACAGTAATAAAAATAATAATACTACAAATAGTGCTAATTAACAATTAAATATATACAAAGTCTTTTGCAAATTAGAAGTACTCTTTTTGCAAGTCAATTATAATCTATTTGATGTATAAAAATAAATGTAAATTTCTTTTAATCGACGGCGAATAAAAACAACTTCTTTTTCTTTTTTTTGTTTGATCAAATGTATACAAAATTTTCATTAAAATCACAGTTAAACGTATTTTTGTTCTTTGACCATTAAACAAAATATTGCTCCCACTGAAACATATTATAAAATTGAAAATTAGTTTTATTTTGTTAATTTTATTTAGGGGGGGAAAAATATCTTTTTCACCCCACTTTCGGATCTTTGATTTTTTTAACATCAAATACAATATTTAATGTTAAAAAATAAAACAAATATATGCAAATAAAACAAATACATTGCTTAGATAAAGAAAGAAATAAATTAATAAATAAATAATAAAATCGAATATTTTATAAAATAAAAATAATAAAAATCAATAATCAAAAAATAAGTATAGAACAAAATATCAAAAAATACATATTGGAAAAAATGTGAAATAAATTGAAAACTGTATGAAACAAAATACAACAAATAAGTGTAAAAAATATGTGAAAAAAATAAATAAATAAAAAATATTATTTTAATAATTATTTCCAAACACCGATACTCACATAATAGATGAAATGCAATTATGTAAATTAATGGAACACAATGATTATCAATTAAATAACTGAAAAGTATATTTCCAATTAAACTTCCTACTCGACTGAAAAATATAGCTAATGCTCCCGCGAATACTCTGAAAAATTTTAATATACTATTAAATAAGTATATATGTGTTAAATTTTTCTCAAAAATATTTTTTTTTCAAATTGCATATTTTATTTTTTTTCTGCTTATAAAATTTTAAATAAAATCAAAAAATTATCTGAAAAAAAATTCTGTGTAAAATTTTAAATAAAATTAAAAAATTACATGAAAATAAAATTCTGTATAAAATATTAAAATTTTAAATAAAATCAAAAAATTACCTAAAATTTGTTGGAAATATAACAACGACAAAACAAAATATCACACTCATGCAAATCGATGTCATGGATTCGAATAAACACGTTAGAATCATAATTTGCAATTTAGTTTTGGCAAAAAACATTCCAATTGTTGTTAAAAACGCTGCTAATGTAGCAGCAACTGAAAAAGAATTTTACATAGACAATTATTTAATTATTTAATTTAGAAATAATCAATTCAGATCAATTTTTTTCTCTCTCTCGCAATTTAAGTCGAATTTTAATTTTTTTAAATTTCGTTTTACTTTTTCATTGACCTAATATTTATTTTAGTTTTTTAAAAATCTTTCATTACTTTATTATTATTACTAAAGAGAAAAAAAAATTATCTATAATTATTTCCACTAATTTTATTTCTTTGGTCATTAAAATATTTTATTTTTGCAAGAAAAATGTAGAAATTTATTTTATTTTCCATAATGTTTGGTTAGTAAGTACCTAAATATTTTATAATTCTAAAAGACTTTATAGATTTTATAATTCTAACTTTTTTAAAAAAAATTTTATAATTTTTATAATTTTAAATCTGAAATAATTTTATTCTTGTTTTTTATGCATAGAGTTTCATTAAAATTTTTTGAAAGTTATTGAATTTCTGTGAAGAATTTTACTAAAATTTTTGAGGATATAATTAAAAAATCCTTTCATGGAATTTAATTAAAAAATGTTATTAGAAATACATAATGGAATTCTTGTAAAGAAGTATATTAAAATTATTGAAAATAATTGAATTCTTTTAAAGAATTTTGTTATTTTTTTAGACATTTGAATTTTTTTGAATAATATTATTAAATTTGACCTAAAAATAATTGAATTCTTGCAAAAAGTTTCATTCAAATTTTGGAAAATAATTGAATTGTTTCGAAGAATTTTATTATTTTTTACAGTAATTGAATTCTTTGACAGAATTTTATAGAAATTTTGTAGAATATAATCGAATTCTTTAACCAAATTTTATTATTTAAGTAAATAATTCAATTTTCGCAAAGAAATGATTTCAAGTTTGGAAAATAATTGAAATTGTTTCGGAGAAATTTATTATTTATGAAAATAATTGAATTCTTTCGAAGAATTTTCTGTAAATTTTGGAAAATAATTGAATATTGTTTCGAAGAATTTTATTATTTTTTACAGTAATTGAATTCTTTAAAAGAATTTTACAGAAATTTTGGAAAATAATTGAATTGTTTCGAAGAATTTTATTATTTATTGTAATAATTGAATTTTCGCAAAGAAATTATTCAAATTTTTGGAAAATAATTGAATTGTTTCGAAGAATTTTATTATTTTTTACAGTAATTGAATTTTTTGGAAGAATTTCAGAGAAATTTCGGAAAATAATTGAATTCTTTAGACAAATTGAATTATTTAAGTGAATAATTCAATTTTTACAAAGAAATGATTCAAATTTTGGAAAATAATTGAAATTGTTTCGGAGAAATTTATTATTTATGAAAATAATTGAATTCTTTCGAAGACTTTTATTAGCATTTTTGAAAATAATAAATAATAATTAAACAGTCAATTAGTTAATAATTGAATTTTTAAAAATAAAAAATTTCGAATAATAGTTATAAAGTAACATTTACTAATAATAAAATTGTTAATAATTAATTTATTAATATCAAAATTGTTGCATCTAATTATTATTAAATTATTTTCAATTATGTTAATAAGGAAAAATTAAAATTAGAGAAAAAGAGAAAAAAAAGAGAATTACCTAAAAAATACTTAAATCCCACTTTGTCAATGAAAGTTATTAAAATTATGGAAGATGGTATACAGGCAACGGCTTGCCATAATGAATTAATGTACACGCTATTATCAATTGGAACATCACATCCAAAAGGGTCGATTTGTCTGTCAAATAAAAAAAGAAGCGATAAACTAATTACGCTGACAAATATAAATTAAAAGAATTGCTTCATAGGGGTCAATATGCATCAACATATCCTGACGTCACTAAATCGAAACATTAAAAATTTTTAATAATAATTTTGTTTTCTATTTTATTTCGATTAATTTTTTTTCTTATTTTTCATCTTAATAATTTTAATTGGTAATTAACCATTTTTTCAATTTTTTCTAATTACACTATTATTGACGTCAACCGCAAAATATTGTCTCGCATATGACCCTAATTAAATAGGTAATAATTAAATAATAATTTAAAAAAATAATTTAACTGCAATTTTAAATAATTAAATAAATGATTTAAATGACAATTTTAAATAATTAAATAAATTATTTAAATGAAAATTTTAAATAATAATGAAATAATTTAAATAAAATTTCAAATAATAATTTAATAAAAAAATGTTGATAAAAATTTAAAATGTTAAAAAAAAATAAGAAAATGGAAAATACAATATTTAATTGAAAAATAAAATTGTATTATTTTTTCGATTATTATTATTATTTGTATTATTATAAAATTATAGAATTTTATTATTATTATTATTATTGTTATTTAATATTTATCGATGAAATTATACTTACTCTACACTTAAATTAACTGATCTTGAGTACATTCGATCAGAAATAGAGCATATTGTTGCAGTCTCATTGGGAAATTTATTTTGAAATTGAGCGAGTCGTTGAAAAACTTCAGGAAACCATAAAAGAAATGAATAATACGCTAATGTTATTGTAAATGCAATTAAACAAGCCAATATAGTTCTGGTTAAATAAGGAGCAGCACGAATGGCTTTTGCCTGATTTTTAAAATCAAATAAAATTGATTTTAATCTCACATCATTCTTGAAATCAATTTCCTCTTCAAAATCTTTTTTCTTCACATAATTTAATGCAAGACTCTGAGTTAATGGATTTTTGCATTCGCTTAGAATTTTCTGCAAAACATGAAAAAAAAGAAATAACAAAATTATATTTAGAAAAAAAAAATAATTCAATAAAGTGAGACAAAAAAAAATTATTTACAAAAAATATTTCAGAAAAATGAGTCAAAAGAAATTATGCAAAATTTGTAGTATTATTATTATTATTATTATTGTTATTATTATTATTCAAAAAATTAATTATTCATGCAAATAAATGAAAGAAAAAAATAAATAATTAAAAATTAAATTTATTATGATTTACATAAAAAATTGAATTTTCGGCAAATTTCTTACGAAATAGGATTCCGGAGATTTATTTGTATTTTCGGTATAAACTTTGACGAGAACATTGAAGAGTTCAATATTCCGTCCAGTTTCTGCTAAATATTTTGGCGTTTCCGGAAAAAATATCAGCCAGAGTCCAATAATTTCGGCTGGTATTGAACATAGGACAATAAATAAATTCCAAGATCGAAATAAAAAGAAGGAGTTTCGATACTGAAATGTCAGTGGAATTATTGACCAGCCTAAAACTTTAATAAAAATGAAAAATCAATACAAGTATTTTTTGGAAATTTATCTATTTTTTTATATTTTAAAATAATATTATATTTTACATAAACAATAAATAAACAAAATTCGATAAGTGCGTTAATAAAAATGAAATCAAAAATGAATTTTTTTAGCATTGATAAAAAAAATAAATAAATAAAAATTAATGAATGCAAATATAGAAAAAATAGCAATAAAAATAAAATAAATAAAAAAATTAGCAATAAACAAAACTAAATAAATGAAAATAAATAATAGAAAATAAAGAAAAATACAGTGTAAAATATAGGCGAATATTTTATAATTAATAATAATTAATAAAATAAAAAATTCTATTTGCATTAATTTTTATTACTTACGTGGTACTAGAATCATTCCAACAATCAAAGCTAAATCCATTAATGAGAGAATTTTTTTTCTATAATTTGTTGGTTGAAACTCACCGACATAGGTGAATAATAAAGATAATTGTCCTATTACTCTGTAAGGCAGAAAATTATTCCTATACATTTAAAATAAACAATTTTCATTTGTTATTTGTATTTAATTATTTACTATAGCATTTTTTTTTATTTATGTTAAAAATTCAAAGCCAAAAATAATAATTAACAAATTTTTTAATTAATGATATAAAATAAGAAGAAAATAGTACGAATTTCGGAAACGCATTTTGTCAAAATTAAAACCTTTTTTTTTAAATAAATTTTTATAGTACCTAAAAAAACCTTTTTATTTATAAAAGTTATTAAATTTATGAATTAAATTAAATTTAATTATTAAATTTATTAATAAATAATTAATTATTAGTAATTAATATAAATTATTTAATTTTAGTAATTAATAATTTATTAATTATTCCTAATGAACTATATTATATTAAATTTATTTCTTCACTCACCCAAAGCCGCTAAAAAATTTCAATACCAAAAATCCCCAATAATTTGGAACAATAGACATCAATAATTCACAATTTCCCTGTAAAAATAGGGCAATAATGAGTGAAAATTTTCGTCCTCTAACATCAGCCAAAAATCCCCAGACAAATGGACCAAAACAGGAACCTATAATTTTTTTTTTTATTTTTATTTTGTTAAAAATAATTGTATTTTAAATTCAAAAATTTACTGATAAAATTCTGAGAGTAAGATTTTTTGTTTTTTTTTTTTAATTTTACGCAAGGAAAAAAAGGCGAAAAAAATGTATTTTTATTTTCTAAAAAGAAAAATAAATAAATAAAATAGAAAAAAAACAAAGAAAATTTATTTTTGTTCCCTAAAAAGGAACAAAAATAAATAAATTAAAAAGGAACTAAAAAAATTACTTTTTCTTACCAAAAAAATAATCAATAAATAAATTTAATAAAAAGAAATAAAAAAATTTATTTTTGTTTCCTAAAATAAAAAATAAATAAAATAGAAAAGAACAAAGAAAAATTTTGAAAATAAAAAGGAATAAAAATAAATTTTTCCTTTTTTCCATATGATTCATACCCAATATAGGAGCTGTGATAATTCTTCCTTTATCAATTGTCGTCATTTTAAAATCACAAGCTGCAGCCGGAATAATAAATCCTGTACTGAGAATGCTAAATGCCGCATTTATGTAAATCAATGAGCAGAGAATTGTTACTTTATAATTGAACTTGCCAAAACCTATTTTAAAAAAATGAATTATAAACGTAAAATTGAAGAAAAAAATTCAAAGAGAAAAATTGAAAAGATAAATATAAGAGACAAAAAAAAAAAAGAAAAAATAAATAGTGAACTTGAAAATGCACTGTGGATGATGCAACAATGGGAAATATTATAATGAGCAAATAGAGAAAAAAAAATTTCTTGCTTCCACAGATAACTAAAATTTATAATTGTTGTGAAAAGAAAAGAAAGCGAAACAATACTTCTCAGAAAGAGGTCAATGAATTAAAAGAAGAAATTTATTTATTATTAATTATTTAAAAAAAGAGTGACAATAAAAACTCAAATCTTTCTGAGGAATATTGTTTCCCTTTTTTTTTAATAATTAATTATATTATATTATCCAATAAATTAAATGAATTAGTTTAAAAAAAGTAGAACAATATTTCTTAGAGAAAAGGTAATGAATTAAATAAAAAAATTGATTAAAAAATTATTCTATCAAAACAATAATTAAATTAAAAAATTAGTTGATAATTAATTAGTTAAAAAAAAAGTAAAACAATATTTCTTAGAGAAAAGGCAATGAATTAGATAAAAATACTTAAAAATAAATAAAATAAGGAAGTAAAAATTGATTAAAAAATTATTAAGAATCAAAACATTAATTATTAAAAAAATTAATTTAATAAAATAATTAAATCGAAACATTAATTAAATTAAAAAGTTATAGTTAAATTAAAAAAATTGCATATAAATTAAATTAGATAAATAAAAAATCAAATTCATTAAATTTAAATTGTATAAGACAGAAAAGAAGAGAAAAAAATTCCATCAAACTCGTATCAGGAGAATATTAGAAAAAAGAATTACGAAAACGAAATTAATTTTTCTTCAAATTCTGCAAAATATAAATTTAATTTAACAATAAGAATAAAATCGTTAATAAATTACACGACTTAGGAAAAATTCTATTTTATATGACAAAGCGAGAAACTGATATAAAATTAATTATAAATTAATAATTAATTATAAAATATAATTATAATTATTAATTTTACAAAATGCAAAATTTTTATGTGCGTTAATTTAATGATATAATAAAAATATAAAAATAAAAATAAAAATTTAAAAAAAAATAAAAATAAAATAATAATAATGATAACATAAGTGAAAATAATAAATAATAAAAAAATGTATTCGCAATTATTACATACCTGCTGCATTAATTGAATCTTCAGCAACTCCTTCTTTTGATTTCGAATCTAGAAGTTAATTATTATCAATCATTAAAGTCTCACAATGATCGTAAATTAGATTTAATATTTAATAAACACATTCATTTTATTACTGTGTTTATTATAAAATATAAATGGTGTATTTAATGAATATATAAATATATAACACACTCTATCATTAAAATTACACCGCATCTTCCTGATCATTAAGTTTTCATTTTTCAATTTTATAATTACCAAGGAAAATTGTTTTATTCCAAGAATTATATACATGGAATCATCTTCAGTTTACGATTTATAATATTGTGAAACAATAATTTACCTGTTTCTTCATTTTGTCCAATTGAAGTGATTTTCAATGTTTGCTTGTTGCCCATATTTCTTTTTTTTTGTAAATAATTGTAAAAACTGAAATGTAATTCAAATATTTTTCTTTTTTTAATTTGCTATAGTTTTTAATTAATTAAATTATTAAAATTTAAAAAAATATTAAATTAATAAAAAATTTCCAATAGTTTACAATTAATTATGTCCCTAAAGTTCCAAACGCTCCAATTTGAAATATTGAATCATCAAAAAAATCGCCTCTTTACATAAATATTTTTAATGTATTTCTTTCAAATTTGAATTTTTATTAAAAATATTTTTTTTTTTAAATAAAAAGTAATTTTCAACTATAAATACATAATTGCTTAGGTACTTTATTCTTTTTTTAATTTTATTTAAGTTATTTCTGAAAGTATTTATAGAAGCAGGAAAATTTTGTTCATTCGAACATTCAAAAATTTTCTCGTAGAAAATTAATTAATAAAAAATTGAAATTTATTTAAATTAATTTTTTATTTTTAATTTATTTTAATTAAAATTATTTTGTTTTAAAATTTACATTAATGTATTTCTTTTTAAATTTAATTAAATTAATTTTGTTTTTAATTTATTTTATCTAGTTTATTTTAATTAATAGTATTTAATTAATATTTTAATGGTAAATTAATATTAAAAAATGAAGAAAATTGAGAATAAAAGTCAAGGTTATTCGAGTCACATATGTACTGAAACTTTAAGAAGCAAATGACATATGATACAGAAAATAATATATTTGCTAAATAATAAATTAAGTTTAAATTATTGTTGCGCGAAATTTAAATTTTTTGCAATTAATTATTATATTTTCAAAATGATAATACTTATTATTCACCTAATTTTAAGTTTACAACAACAGAGTTAGTTAATAGTAATGACAAATTTCCGTTAATAGAAAGAAAACGATGCCAATAATTATAATTTTTTTATAACAATAACAATAGTAATTATTAATGTTAATTTTATCTTTAATTTTACAATCAGATTAAAATTAATTCTAAATTCAATTTACAAAATTTAATTTAATTCATTTTAAAAGATTAAAATCAATTCTAAATTCTATTTTCAAAACGAAATTACACTCAAAACATTTTTTGTAAATTAGTTTTGAATTAAAATTATAATTAATTCTACACTGTATTTTATAATTATAAATTAAATTAAAATTAGAATTTTAATTAAAAGAATTAAAAATTGAGAGAGTGAAATTTTTTCTCTTCCATTTACCTCGTTAGAAAATAAAAATTTTTAATCCAATATCGCAGTAATTAATCCGATGATCTTCAATCACATACGCACTAATGTGAACCACAATTTTTCACTTGACTCTGTTCGTTGTTATAAAAAAGAAAAAATATATAAATTAAATGGAAATAATTCTCTTGCGTAATTTATACCTTAGGTGGGAGATAAAATAAATTGTGCACCTTTACATATCTATGTTTGTTGAATGAACTTCTTTTTCCTTTTTATAATTAGCATAACATTTTGATTTTTGAAAAAATTGATTCCTCTTATTTGCAATTTATAAATATATATGTTGATCGTCGCAAAATATTTTATAATTATTTTTTAACTCACGTCATAAACTAGTGAAGATAAGCTAATTTTCTGATTATCATAAACAATTATAAATAAAAATACAATTTTTCTTTTGAAAATTTAACATAGTGTTCGATAATTAAATTTTCATTGTACATACATAATAATATGTGCGCATTTTTTTTTTTTTTGTAATATAATAATATACAAAAATAAAATGTTCCTTTAGAGTGTAAATTAAATAACTTTATATTCAATTCATTCAATAAAATAATTTTTCCATTATACTGAAAAATTCTTTTATTTAAAAGAACTTAATTAGAAAAAACACTCTTTGGATAAATATAAAATTACTTTTTTTTCCTCATTTCCATTAAAAAAAAGATTATTGTTCGTAATTTTAAGTTCTTTTTTTCAATTATCAATTTGAATTAATTATTCTTAATCATTTATAAAATAATTATGTCCAATCATTAATATTACGATTTTCAGTCAATAAAAATTTGTGTAAAAAAACTTTAAATAAACAAAATGAACAAAAAAAATAGAAGAAATTATTTATTTTGTTTAAATGTAACAGTAGACTGTGTAAAAATTTATGAATTGTTTTTAAATTACAATTGTTTTTAAAATAACGAGAAACTTAAATTAACGTATATTTTTTAATTACCTTATTTATTGCACGATAAAAAAAACTTATCAAAAATATTTAACTACTGGTTTAATACATACACTCACACACGAATTGAAAATTATATTATTTTTTCCGAAGTGTCAAACTAAGTATTGTCGCCACTGAAACAAAAATTAAAATAACAAATAATTATTTTACATTGTTAAAACGTTTACTATCAAAGTGAGCAATTTACTTATGTAAAATATATGTAGGAAAAAATGTTGAAGTCGATGTAAAAGTATTATCAATTGATAATAAGGAATAATAAATATTTAAAAAATTTATCTATTGCAATTAATTAGATAATAATATTAATAATAATAAATTATTATTATTTACTAAAAAGAAAATATTTTAATTTAATTTAATTTAATTAATACTAACACAATATTTTTACAATAAAAAGTTCGTAATACAAATTATTAAATTATTAAATTATTAATTATCGAAATTATTATTCTTCTGTAATAAATTTATATTTAAATATTTATTTATTTATTTATTTTATTTATATTAGAAAAATCTAAAGAAGAATATCAAATTTTCAAAAGAATCATTAAGTTTTACTGATCAAACAAACACTGAACTAAATAATTGTAATTGAATCTCTTATATAGGAAAAGTTTAAAATTAATTAATAATTTTACACATATATTAAGTGGATTGAACGTGAACGTTAACATTCTATGGAGAAAAAACTTATAAAAATTTTATATAATTTTTTTTCTGATACTGAATCACAAGTCATAAATCATAATCTAAAGAAATGACATTTAAATTTTAATTAATTCCTTATGTACTTTATATTCGAGAACAAGTCAAGAATATTTGTATTTTTAATTTAATAAATTTTTTACCTAATAATTGGACAGCAACGCTCGAGATCAGAATTGTACAGTAATTGTCGATTAAATAGGTAAACGTAACATTGCCAAAAATCGTTCCTAATCTGCTACAGAATACTGATATTGTCGATGCAAATATTCTGGAAAATGAAAAATTTAAATTAAATTAAAAATATTGGATGTTTAAAAAATTCGAAATTTTGTTAAAGCAAAATATATTCATAATTAATAATATATTCATTAATTATAAATAATTAATTAATAATATATATAAATAACTATTTTTTATATTCAACTTAAATATATAATTAATTTTTATATTCGATTTATAATCACTCGAATGATCCTAAAGTTATGAACGTTCGAATAAACGAAATTTATTTATTTCTTCTTGAAATTAATTATTCACTACAATTATTTTGTGTCACTATCAAGAAAATTAATTATAAAGTTTCTAAATGTAACTTTTTAGTCTTTAATTTTTATTACAATCAGTAATTTATGAGAATTTTTTAATAAAAATTATTTCGTTCATTTAAAAATTCAAAACTTGTGCATCATCGCCGGAATAAATAAAAGTATTTTTCAAAAGTACCTCACATTCGTTGGGAATAGAACAACAAGAAATGAATACATGACACTGGCACATGCAGACATTACTGCATTAAAAGTACACGAGAGTACCACATTTTGTAAATATGTATTTGCAAATAATAATCCTATCGTCGAAGCAAATGCAATGCTCAATAGAGTTACTGTAAAAAAACATTCGATTATTGTATTAATTATAATACTTAATAATATTTAAGGGCATTTGAACCATGATGACGTCACAAATTTAAAACTAATGCTTTGCACAAACTGTGACGTCATCAAGGTTCAAATCCCCTTAATGCAAATAAAAAAAGAAAAAAAAATTAATAATTAAATTAGTAATTTAACTAATAATTAAACAGCAACTTAACTTCAATTTTTAATTAATAATTAAATTATTAATTAAACTATTAGTTTAATTAATTATTAAATCCAAAATTCAATTGATAATTAAATTAATAATTATGTAAATAATTAATTAAATAATTAAACTAATACGTAATTCATAATTCAACTGATAATAATTTTAAATTAGTTTTTTTGTTTCCTAATTTTATTGATATCTTTTCTTTTTAATGTTTTGAATTTCAAAAGTAATGCAATTTTAATTCAATACTTTAAACATTAAAAAATTTCAAGAATTAATTGAAACCAAATTGTTTTCAGTAAAAAATATTTTTTTTTGTATTTCTTTTATAATTTTGAATCTGAAATAATTTAATTATTATAAAGAAATTTATCCAATTTTTTCAAAACAATTAAATTTCTTGACAAAAAATGTAATTAAAATCTTCAAAAATACGTTAATTCTTACAAGAAATTTAATTAAAATAATATTAAAAATATTTAAATTCTTATACCTTTAGAGTTTTATCAAATTATTTGGAAATAATTGATTTTCTGCAAAGAATGTTAAAATTAACATTTTTTTAAATAATTGAATTCTTTCGAGAAATTTGATTACAATTTTTTTTTTAAATAAAAATTCAATTCTTTTTTAAATAATTTAAATAAAATTCTTAACAAGATTTCAATTATTTTCATAATTAATAATATTTCTATAATATAATATAATATTTTATTAATAATATTTATATTTAATAATATATTAATATTAGGTAATTAATAATATTAATAATATTAAGAAAATTTTTTTATTTTTTTTTTATTGGATTCTTTTGAGAAATATTATTAATTATGAAAATAATTGAAATCTTGCTAAGAATTTTATTTAAATTTTCAAAAATTTCTTTAAAATAATTAAATTACTGCGAAAAATTTTATAAATTATGAAAATAATTGAAATCTTGCTTGAATTTGTTTTTAATTTTCGAAAATAATTGAATTTTTTCGAGAAATTTAATTAAAGTTCTATTGAAAATATTTCAATTCACATAAAGAATAAATTTAAACAAAATTTTTGAAAATAATTGAATTGTGCAAAGAATTTTATCAAATTTTTAAAAATAATTGAATTTTTTTGAAAAATTTTATTGAAATTGTATTGAAAATAATTGAATTTCTGCGAAGAATTTTACTAAAATGTTTTAAAACAATTAAATTCCTACGAAAAAAATAACATTTTTATGAAAAATAATTAGGAAAATAATTGAAATGTTGCTAAGAAATTTAAAAAAATTTTCAAAAATAATTGAATTTTTTCGAGGAATTTAATTAAAATTGTATTGAATTCAGTTTATAATTATGTTAATAGCTAATTTAATAATTCAATTTAATTAAAAATTGAAGTAATATTTGAATGAAAAATTGAAATAATGTTTCGATTAAAAGTTGAATTCGAAATTTTTGTGAATTAATATGTGAATTAATAATTGAATTAAAACTTGAATTAATTTAATGTGAATTAAATTAATCAAACTTCATTTTATAAAAATGTAAAATTCAAGAAACCTGCGAAAAATCGAAATCCAAGTTTATCGACGAAAAGTGGTAAAAGTAAGTTAGGAATAATTGCGCTAAATCCTTGCAACAATGAATTTTTATACACACTGACATCTACTTCTTTCGGACATTTGTAGATTAAATTCTGCAAAAAGAAAAAAAAATCATTAAGGGCATTTGAACCTTGATGACGTTACAGATTGTGCAAAGCATGTGTGACGTCATCAAGGTTCAAATGCCCTTAATATACGATTTTTCCACCCAAATATTCTGAAATTTAGGAAAAAAAAATTTTAGTATAAAAATTAAAAATTATAAATTCACTAACAAGAAATAATTAATTGAAATTAAAACGGATATTCTAGAAATTTAATAAATGAATTTTAATTACAATTTATTATTTTCCTTAAACTAGAAGGAAAATGATTATAGTAATTTTGTATTATAATTTATGTATAAATTAAATGTTAAATTTCTCTTATCTAGAAATATTTTTAAGCTTGTACAATAAAATAGATAATAATGAAAATTAAGAAATCACAATTTTTTTTTTGTCATGTTTAGTAATATTGTAAAAAAAGTAATTATTCTTCTATCGAAAATAATAAAAGAAGAATTATTAGGAAGTCGAATTTATAATTCCTAATTATATACTTGTGTTAAATAAAATATTCACTATTCTGTATAGTGAATAGCAAATTAAATATTAGACTAAAGACAATTTTTTTATTTCCACAAATATTGACAGTAGTAAGACCGCAACACATGGTATAATCAGACAATAAATTGTATACTTAATTTTGAAATAATTTTTACTATTAAAATATACATGAGTCTAATAAAACATTATTTGCGATAAAAAGGATTATTATATTTTCGAAATTATAAATTTCTTTTTAAAATGGAAAATAATTTTTTTTTTATTATTATTTTTTCAGACTATTTAATGCAAATATTGTTTTTAAAATTAAAATTACTTGAGGATTTGTTTTTACCTGTGTATTATTTTGTGGCAAAAGATTCTTAGAAATTGAGCAAACACTTGACGTTTCATTTGGATAAAGTGCTTGAAATTGTGAAAATCGTTGAAAAATTTCTGGGAACCACATGAGGAGAGAATAGAACGATGAGGAAAAACAAAACATCGATATCGAGAGAATGAGCAATCGCTTTAGATATGGATCTTTCATGACATTTTTCCCTTGTACTTTAAAATCATTCAACATTGTTCGTAATTCCTTTTTCTTAAATGTTTTCTCGTCTCCTTTATATAATGACATATTGCTGTTGTAGAAATTTACTAAATCGCCCATACCGCGACTTTCGCAGGTTCCCAATTTTCTCTGGAAAAAAAAGAGAAGATAAAAATGACAGTAAATTATTATTAATTATTTTTGTAATTTAATTTAATTATTAATTAATAATTAAAAATTAAAAATGATTCGTATTATTATTATATTATAATTATTCGTATTGTTAATTATTATAATATTATAATTATACGTATTAATTTTTATATTCAAAAACAGAATATTGAAACAGATGTTAGTAATTATTCACTATAATTTATTGCACGTATAGTAATAAATTATTTTCGAAACAAAAATTTACGTACTATATAATCTTCACTTGTTCCTCCATTATTTTTTTCATACATATTAATGAGGACATTGACTAGCTGAAAATGTTGACCAGTTTCAGCAAGATATTTTGGTGTCTCGGGTGAAAAAATGAGCCAAATAACTAAAATTTCAGCAGGCAAGGCGCACACGAGAACAAATAAACTCCATGAACGGAATAAAAAGTATTCACGTCTATATTCAAAATCCAGTGGTATTATTAGCCACGCCAAAACTGTAACAAAAAATTTAAATTTAAATTTCAACACAATAGGAAATTAAACAAAAATTTTTGCAAAATTTCCAACAAAAAATTTAAATATAAAATAAAAGAGAAATTTTCACAGAAAATTAAACCAAAATTTAAATAGAAAATAAAAGAGAAATTTTCACAGAAAATTAAACCAAAATTTAAATAGAAAATAAAAGAGAAATTTTCACACAAAATTAAACCAAAATTTAAACAGAAAATAAAAGAGAAATTTACATAGAAAATTAAACCAAAATTTAAACAAAAAATAAAAGAGAAATTTACATAGAAAATTAAAGCAAAATTTAAACAAAAAATTTTTGAACAGAAATTTGAACAAAAACTTGAACAAAAATTGAATAAAGAATATTGAATCACTAAGATAAGAATACAAAGCAAAACAGGATATATGCATTAAAATAAAAAAAAATAAAATACATAGAAGAAACAACTTTTAAACGTAATTTTTCTTACGTAATATAGACAATTTTTTGAATAATCATTTCGTTACATAAATAATCAATCATCGCATTTTATTCAATTTATTGGTGACAAATCTAATTAACATTTAGAAACGGTATCAACATTTGTTAATGTCATTTTACCATAATTGTTAATTAATAAAATTTTTATAACACAAATTGGACGGTGAATAAAAAAAAAAGAAATAATATTCAAAATTTATTTTGAAAAAACTTGAAAATTAAGATATCAATTAAAATTTTAATTTAAATATGAATAAAAAATTTTGAATTTAAACTTGAGTATGAATTTAATTTCTAAAAATTAATTATTATCAAAATAAATATGAAATTGAAAAAATTCAACTTACGTGGCACAATAATTTGTGCGGCCACCATTACAAAGCTGATCCATGATAGAATTTTTTTCTGATGAATTTTCGGCTGAAATTCGCCCACGTATGTGAAGAGTAACGTTGTTTCGCCTATCACCCTGAATTAAAAAAGAGTTTTTTTTCACATTATGTAGCTCAATAAATAAATAATTAAATAAAAAATCAAAATATTAATTTCGATTAAAAAATTAGTTAAGAAATTAAGAAACTAATTAAATTTTAAAAATTAGATCAGAAATTAAAAAATTAGTTCAGAAATTCAAAACTCAATTAAATTAAAATATGAATTCAGAAATTAAAAGATCCGTTCAGAAATTAAAAAATCAATTCAGAAAATAAAAAATCAGTTTAGAAATTAAAAAACCAATTAAATTAAAGTATTAATTCAGAAATTTTTAAAAATCGATTAAATTAAAAAATTAATTGAGAAATTAAAGAATTATTCAAGAAATGCAAAACTTGAGAAAGAAATTTAAAAAAATATATAATTCAAGTAAAATTAAAAGTAAAAAAAAAATGATGGAAATCTACTTACGCAAAACCGCTTAATAATTTAAGGAATAAAAATCCCCAGTAATTAGAGATTATTGACATCAGAATCTCACAATTCCCTTGAATAAATAATGTCGTTATTAAAGCTATTCTTCTGCCTTTCAGATCTGCTAAAATTCCCCACACAAATGGTCCAAACAATGAGCCTGTAAATTAAATTGTTTCACAACATGAAATTCTACAATTAATATTTTTTTCCTCAAAATAAATTTTCATAAAAAATTGAAATCATTTTCTATTATTTTATTAATTACCTATAAAATTTTTCAAAAATTTTTCACAAAGATTGAAATTAATTTTCCTTGAATAAAAATCTATTATAACTAATTTTGTATTTTAACTCTGAATGTGATAAATTTTCTTCATTTTTTCTCTCCTTTCTTTTAATGAAAATGAATTTAAAAAAAAACGAGGAGAAAAAAAAGTGAAAAAAAATGAAAGATATTATCAAAAAACGGAGGCGGTTCATAAATATTGGAATCATTCTTTAAAAATTTATTAATTAACATTTTTTTCAAAAAATAAATTTTCATAAAGATTGGAATTATTTTTTTTTTAATCAAAATCCCTTATAACTTATTTTTGTATTTTAATTCTGAATGTAATAAAATTTAAAAAAAGAAAAAAAAAGAATAAAAAGAAAAGAAGGAGAAAATTACCTAAAACGGATGCGATAGCAATTCGTCCTTTATCAATTGTTGTCATTTGAAAATCACACGCTGCAGCTGGTAAAACAAAACCAATACTGCTAATACTGATAACTGCATTTGTATAAATAGCGGCCCCTATAGCTGCAATTTTTAAATTAAATTTACCAAAACCTGCAAAAGAATTATCAAATTATTATTTAGTTAATTAATAATTAATTTAATTTACTAATAATAGAAAAATGCTAAAAACCTGTCTTATCAATGGCTTCTTGAACGGCAGATTCTTCCGTTTGTACCTCTAAAAAAATAAATGACAACAGATAAAAAATTTTAACAATTTGACAAAATTATCCCAATTTTCTACCTAATTATTATTTATTTATTAAATTAACAAAGCTACTAAATTAAATGCTAAATTTTCTTTAAATTAGAATCTAATAATAAAATTATTTTTATTTCCTTTTTACTGAAAAAAACAAATATTTCTCTATTTTTAAATTCCTTTATCGTCTTATTACTTTTAGTTAGGAAGCAAATAATGAAAAAAATTTCGAAATTTATGTAACTCAAACAAAAAAAAGAAGACACGGAATATTCAATATTCAAAGTAGTGTCACATCAAAAATCATACGACGATACAAAACGAAAAGTTTGTTTGAATAGAGAAAATTGACAAAAATAGCAATAGTAGAAAATGTAGGAAAAAAAATTTAATTAAAAAAATAAACACTTTTCGACACCAATTGCTAAAGAAAATTTCACAATATTTCTAGAGTGTAATTATTTAAAAATTCATACTCACTCATTTTCAATAACTTAAAGCAAAAAAATGATCAAATTTTGTTTTGAGAATAAAAAAGTCTTTAATAGTTTTTTTTTTTTTTTTTGATAAATTCAAATAATATCTCCGCGAAACAGTTGTCTGTTGAAATTGTAAACTGTTTCTGATACTGTCTCGTCTTTCTAAAATGTTCTTTCTAAAAATGTGTGGCACTTGACAGAGTGTACAAAAAAATAATTTTGTCAATATTTAATTAACGTGATAAGTAAAGTCTGACGGTCCTTTTTTCATTTAGAAAATTAAATGTATATAACTAAATGATTATTAATTATCACAATGAAGAATAAAGTTATTTTTATATCGACAAACTTAAGCCAATTTATTTTCCAATTAGTAAAATTAACTAATGGAACTGCTCATTGAGAAATCGTTTTAATGGAACAATTTTAGTTATCAGATTTTAATAAAATCTTGGGAAAAACCCAGAAACCACTGTTTTCTTTCTATTTTTATAAAATTGCCGTAAAAATAATTATTCATAGTCAGCGAAAATTTTTAATTCAAATTGCTGCTGATTGGTGGAATTTTTGTTTAAATTGGCAAAAATATTCTTTTAATATTTAGCGTATTTTTGTAATAAGTGAAATGAATTAAATTTAAATAAATAATATATTTATTTAAATACACTTTCATTGTTAATATTGTCCAATAAATAGTGCAATTTCATTTTACTCTCAGTCTCAGGCTCGCAGTGTGACACATAAAATAATAGCCACTGAAAACAAAAACATTGATTTAGATTTTTTGTCAAATATTTTACTTTTGAAATTTCAATATTATCAAAAATAAATCATAGAATATAAAATCCAATTATTTTCCAATAAGTAAATTTAAATGTCTCACATGATAATTGCAAGGCTGCAACGACAATTAAACCAGTGCAGTATTCATCAATTAGATGGGCGAATAATCCATTTCCAAAAATAATTCCCAAACGACTGCAGAATGAGGCTATGGAACCGGTGAAAAGTCTGAAAAATATTTCAATTATTATAAAAAAGAAAATAAAAACTTATAATTTAAAAAAGAAAAAGAAAAAAAAATTTGGAAAGTAATTGCCGGAGAAATGCAAGATATTAAAAATAATTTCTATTTATTCTTCTTTCAATAATTCCATTCTTTTTTTTTTTTGGTTTTTTTATTAACTTTTTCTTCCGTTAGTATTTATAAATTATTACAATTATCATAAACAAAAGCTAAATGATTACTAGTAGAAATGACAATTTATAGTCAGACCATAATTTCTTTCACTGAATCAATAATTATGGAAATTAAAAAGTAAAAAATAAATAAAAAGAAATATTAATAAATAAAAAAACCTTCCTCCACGTGGAAGCAAAATAAATAAAAATAAACTCAACAGTTAAAAAAGTAAATAATAAATAAATTTAAAAAATATACTTAAAAAAAAAAAATAAATAAGAAATGAATATAAGTAGGAAAATTAGTTTTTAATAAAGTCAATAAAAATAAAAATGAAATACCTAATATCGTCAGGAAAAAGTTCAGCGTTAAATTGAAATAAAATGCTTAAAGTGGTGCACATCACTGCTTTAAAAATACATGCCAGTATTATACTTTGAGTGAAGGAATTAATAAAAAATAAACTTAAAGTTCCCAGGAGGCCGACACAGAAATACACACCTGAAACAAATTTTACACAATTATTTAAATAAGATTATAACTGTACAGAATAATAAATAAGATAGAAATTTAATAAATAATTGTGTGATAATAGAAGAAAAATAATTCCATAATTTAAAATAAAAATGACAATTGCAATAAAAATTATTATAAATAAAGTAAAAATAATCTCAAAATTTCTAAATAAAATAGAAATTGTAATAAAAATTGTAAATGAAACGAAAATAATTCCAAAATTCTAAATAAAATAAAAATTATAATAAAAATTAAAATTAAAATTAGAAAGAAATTATACGAAAAATTAAAATAAAATAAAAGTTATACTGAAAATTATAAATAAAAAAGGAATTCTACTGAAAATTGTAAATAAAATAGAAATTATGCTAGAATTTGAAAATAAAATAGTAATTCTAATAGAGATTATAAATAAAATTGCAATTTTAATAAAAATTGAAAAAAAAATTGTAAAAAAATGGAAAAAATTATTTGAATTATGTAGGGGAATGTAGTCAAGGTTGGCCTACTGTCTAGGTAGGCCACTCGCGTTTTTTTGTCAAGTTCACTAGCGCCACCTACGCGCATTTTTGTCGAAGCTTGTCTTAGTGAAACCTAACTTTTTGTTCAATTACATTTTCGGAAAATCGAAAATTGTGTTTTCTGTGACGTCGGTACAAAAAAAGCTCAAAAAAAGTTTTGTGCATAATGTGAAAAACCATTAATAAAAGATAAAAAACAAATTGAATCGTCAAGGCAAGTATGCAGAAAATTTGTGGGACTCATGGTTGAAAGGAAAACAAAGTAAAAAATCGAATCCCGAAACGTATTTCTTTTTGTTTACAACAATTCGGTAATGTTACTTACTGTCAAGGTCGGCCACTATGTGTTTAAAATGCGCAAAGTTGAGGACGAGCTACTTCATTTGCAAAAACTGCAATTCTGTATAACTCATAATATAATTGATCATCTTATTAATATTTTTATTTAATTTTATTAATATTTTAGTGCAAAACTTTTTTTTATTTATATTTATTTTTTTATATTGTTTATTGTTATTATTTTGTTATTTCATTAAGTTACAAACTGTAAACAATAAAGAATCAATTTTCCGTAACTCCAAACATGTTATTTTATTTTTTAACGATTAATGCCCTTTGAATTTTAAACATGGCCGACCTTGACTGTAATGGCCAACCTGGACTACAAATTTTTTTTTTTTTAAATCTTTATAACTTTTTCATTTTTAAACCTGTCAATTTACTTTGTACAGAAAAAATGTTCCTATTAAACAGGACTTTCCAACCATATACTTCAATTGTCCAAATTCATTTTTAAAAAAAAGTTATAAACAAAAGTCAAAAAGGTGGCCGACCTAGACTATGTTCCCCTACATTGAAATTTTAAAAAACTAAAAATATTTTTCGATAGACTTACCTACAATAAATCGGAAGCCAAATTTGTCGACAAAATAAAGATACAAGAGATTAGGAAATACTACCGAAAGACCCATTAAAAATGAAGTACGATAGACGCTCGTGTCTATTGTCTGGTTGCAAGAAGCAGCGTGGAAAATTCCATTCTGATGAAAAAAATTTTACTAAAAATTCACAATTTTCAAATTTCATTATTAAAATAAACTAAAGTAAAAATATAAAAGTATATAAATAAAATAGAATATAAGTAAAATCTATTAAGTGTTGAATATTATTTTCGCGAAAATAATGCAAAAAAATTTTTTTGTAAAATTTAATATACTAGCAAATGTTACGCGCGCCAGTGTAAAAATTTTCAATTTTCAATTATAAATTTTTGAATAATTTCATTATCAAAATTTTAAAATATAATTCTTCGCAAGAATTCAATTATTTTCATAAACAATAACATTCTTCGGAAGAATTCAATTATTTTTATAAATAGTAAAATTTTTTGCTAAAATTCAATTTTTTTTTAATTTTAATAAAAATTTCACGAAATAATTCAATTTTTTTTTAATTCGTTATAAAATTTTTCATAAGAATTCAATTATTTTCTAAAATTTTTAAAAATCCTTCGAATCAATTCAATTATTTTTAATATAATTTTTAAAATATTTCGTAAAAGAATCCAATTTTTTAAAAATTTTTAATAAAATTTCATGAAAGAATTCAATTATTTTTTAAAAATTTAATAAATCTTTCACAATTCAATTATTCTTTTTAAATATAGTAAAATATTTGCAAAAATTCAATTATTTTCTAAAATTTTCATAAATCTTTCGAATCAATTCAATTTTTAAAAACTTTTATTAGAATTATTTTAGAAAATTGTAATATATAATTCTAAAAAAATGTTAATTATTTTCTAAAAATTTTAATAGAATTCAATATTTTGATTGTTGAATTTCAATTATTAACAAACACGATTATTTTAAAAACTTGAAAGAAATTGTTCATAAAATTCAATTACTGTAAAAATTTTCAATTAAAATTATTAAAGAAACTCCATTATTTAAAATAAATTGAAAGAAATTCTTCAAAAGAATTTCAATTATTCTCAAATTTTTTGATAAAATTCTTTGCAAAAATTCAATTATTTTTATAAACAATAAAATTCCTCGAAGAATTTCAATTATTCTCAAATTTTTTAATAAAATTCTTTTATCAAGAATACTACGATTATTAATAATATAGAAGATTTTGTTTGTGTTATAAATTAATTTTGTTAATTATGTAATAATAATAATAATTTTTATCGACAATAATAAAAAGAATTTTTTTTTGTAAACTAAAAAAATTGTTTTATGCAAACCTCATCAAAGAAAGTGTGTCTACTTTTCGAAATACTATTACAGTCATCAACCGTTCCATTTTTATTCAACTTTTCATATTGAGAAAATCTATGGATAATTTCAGGAAACCATGTGGTCAGTGAATATGTTGCTGAAGATACGCAAAACATGGCTATTGAGAGTATTATCAATCTTCGTAAATACGGCGCTTTTAAAACATTTTCTCCTTGTCCTTTAACACAATTTAGCATATAATTTAAATCCTCATCTTTTTTAGACATTCCTGTAAACGTCGAATAATATTGGCAACGATTTACCAAATCCACCATGGCAGCATTTCCAGAATGTAGTAAAAATTTCTGCAAAAAGAGAAAAATATTATTACAATATTCAAAATAGAAAATTACAAACGTCACTCAAAGGCAATTTTTAATAAATAAATATAAATTACAAATAAACTTAAAAAACTGAAAATAAAAAAAAAATTAAAAAAGAAAATTAAAAAATAGAAAATTAAAAATAAATGTAATAAATAAAAAACAAATGTTCCTCAAAGGGAATTTTTAATAAATAAATATAAATTACAAATAAACTTAAAAAAACTGAAAATAAAAAAAAAATTAAAAAAGAAAATAAAAAAATAGAAAATTAAAAATAAATGTAAATTATATAAAAATATAATAATTCCGTAAAATTTATTTTCACTTGCAATGTAGTCCTCAGAGGAACCTCCATGATTTTCCTGATACATTCGCGTGAGAACGTTTAATAATTCTTTATAATGGCCAATTTTCGCAAAATATTGCGGAGTTTCAGGCATGAAAATAAGTAGAATTGCGAAAAAATTAAGAGGCACTGCAGTCACTAATACAAATAATTTCCAAGATCCAAAGAAGAAATTACCCATTCTGAATTCAAATCTCAAAGGAATAATCGCCCAAGCTAAAACTTGAAAATTCAGAAAATTAAATTTAAAATATGAGCATTAAATGAAAAATTATTTTCGATTTCACTATTTTCAAATTATGTAATTAATAAATTTTCTTACGTGGCAAAATCATTAAGGCAATTGCATAGACAAAACTCAAGCAGGCGAAAATTATTTTTTCATGACTCGATGGTTGAAAGTGTCCAACGTACGTATATATGGAATTTATTGCCCCCATTGCGCTATAAAAAAAAAAATTTGTTTATCAATTTTCCTCAAAACTTATTAATAATACACTGAAAAAAAATTTGATTCAGATTAGAAATTATCTAATCGGTAATTTGAATCAAATAAACTTTTGTTCAGTTAGTTTTCTACTAGCAAATAAATATTTATACTCGAATTGAAAAACTTTTATCTAAATCAATTAATTTACTTCAACTAGTGAAATTTTTGGATTAAATTTTTTTTTCTTAGTTTCATTATTTGATCGAATTAAAAAAATTTTTTTTTTATTTTGTTCACTATTTTTTTATTTAAACAAAAATTATTTGATTCAAGTAAATATTCAATTGATAATAATAGACAAGGGATCGGTTATTTGAATCAAATAAATTCTTTTTTTCGGTGTATAGGAAATAAAAATGATAAAAATGATAAAAATATTAAAAATACAAAGAAACGAAAAATAATAAAAATAAAAATGAATAAATACTAAAAATAATAAAAATAAATAAATAATAAAAATAATAAAACTAAAAATAATGATAATCGTAATTAGTAAATCGAAGTCACAAAAATACTTACGCAAAGCCGCTGATTATTTTAAAGAATAAAAAGAACCAGTAATTGTACACGAATAGTGAAAGACAAATTTCAGTGCCGCCATGAAGAAATAACACGAATATTAAAGATAATTTGGATCCTTTCGAATTTGTTATAAATCCCCAACATAAAGCTCCTAAACAGGTACCTGAAAGTATAAAAATTAAAATATTCAGCAAAATACTATTTCGATAAAATAATTCAATAATTATAATTAAAATCATTTTTCTATTTTTTGGAATTTTTATTTTTAGTAGATTTGAAAATGAAATTGAAATAAATAAATAAATAATAGAAAATAAAATTTTATTTATATTCTCTTGTATTTATATTAATTGGCTAAATTTTTTTTATATAAATAGTTTTATTTTCGAACTTTTTGATTTAAAATCGAAAATATATAAAATTAAATTTCAATAAAATCAAAAATATAGAAAATATTATTTGAATTCAATTTACAAAAATTCGAAATTTAAACAATAACTTTATTAGTACCTACAGTGGGTGCCACGGCTAAAATCCCCTTCTTCGTAGTTGTCATTTTGAAATCACAAACCGTAGATGACAAAATATATCCCAAATTTAAAAGATTTAGCATCACATTCGTGTGTATTAAAATTCCGATAAGTGTAATCTTCAAGTTAAATTTCCCAAATCCTGTAAAAAGAAAATTGATAAAAATTTGAGAAATTAATTTAACGAATTTAACAAAATTAATATCTAAAACCAATAAATAGTGTCAATTACCAATATTTTCCACAGCCTCTTCAACAACAAGAATTGAAATTCCCCTTTCTGGAAAAGAATTTGAAAATTGAATTACTTTTCGATAAAATATATTAAATTAAACTAAATAAAATCGAATATTTTTAATTATTATTATTTTGACTAATTACCAGATCCTTCAGTATCATCGTGAACAATAATCTCTTGATTTATTCCAGGTTTTTCTAATGATCATTAAAAAAGAATCTATTAAATCAAAACATTTATCTCCATCAGATGAATAGAAATAACTAGAATTTCTGTCAGATAATTACCACTCAATTTAATATCCAGTTGATGGAAAATCTCTGGTATTCGTCTTTCTGTTAAAAAAAGAAAAAATGAAGCAAACGAATGAAAATTAGAAAAAACAGTTTTAATTATTCAATAAAAATTTTTTCAATAAATTTTCTATAAAAATAGATCAAAAATAAAGTTAAATATTTATTTCACACCATACTTACCCATTTTTATTCATTCTTATAAAGAAAAAAAATCCAAATTTTTAATCACTTTTTGTGTGTAAATCATAATGAATTTAAAAAATTTTCAAATTTATTACTATTAGAGAAAAAAAATTGAACAGTATGATTTACATCTCTTTTTTTTGCTATTATAAAAATTTATTATTTGAAAATTATTTACAACCACTACTTAACATTCTTCGCTGCTAGGCAGTGAAAAAATGTTTCTAAACATCTAATGATTTTATAAACTTATCAACGATTAGTATTAGTCTAAAATGAAGAACATTGTAATATGTATTATTTTAAATAATTAAAGTCACGATATTGTAATTGGAAACTAATATTTTTTTACTTAATGTATAATTAACCAACTTTGTACATTATATCTTTAATACATATTTATTTAATAGTATATTAATACTATCAACTATTGATACTACTACCAATATAGATTTTAGTTTCATAACTAAAATGTATTTTTTTTTCATAAGAATTATTACTTAATAGATAATTATGATTTACTTATCAAAAAGTTGATCATTTAATTTCATTTCCTGAGTATTATAAATAATCCAGCTGCCACTAGAATATAAGAGAAAAAAATCATTAAATATTTCATTATTTTAATATCAGGTTGAACTTTAACTTATAATAACTTATCGGTGTCTTACCAAATAATTGAAGGAGAACAATTGCAATTAAGATGGTACAGTGTTCGTCGATCAGATATGTGAAAATTACGTTACCAAAAATAGTTCCTATACGACTAAAAAATACTGACATGGTTGAAGCAAATACTCTGAAAGAAAATTATTCTGTTTTATTTTGGTTTTAATAAAATTTTATTTTCAAAAAATACAATAAAATTTATTTTAATATTTATTTATTATTTACCTGATATTTGTGGGGAAGAGTAGGACAAGAAAAGAATACATGACACCAGAAACTGATGACATAACTGCCAGATAAATGCAAGAGAGTATCACATTTTGTAGATAGGAATTTGCGAAATATAAACCAAATGTTGTTAGGATACTTAATCCTGTTAGTGACACTGCAAAAAAGAAAACAGAATATAAATATACAAAATTTTTTCTATAAATATTTAAATTCTTTCAAACAAATATTTACAATTTTTCAAATAAATATCTCAAATTTTCCACATAATTATAATAATTATAAATCAAAAATTTTTAATTCTCCAAAAATTATATGTAATTTTTTAATTTATTAAGAATTATATTTACCAGCAAGAAATTTAAATCCAAGTTTGTCAACCAAAACGAGAACTAGAAAATTTGGTACTAAACAAGCGATTCCTTGAAACAATGCGTTCATATAAACGCTAGTGTCAATTTCTCGGTGACAATTTGAAGAAATAGAGGCATTATTCTAGAAAATATTGTTGAAAAAAAAGTGAAATTGAAAAGTGAAAGTGGAAAAAAAGGATAATTGCATAATAATTATTAATAAACTAATATAGAAGATAATTTGTAAATTAAGGAAATAATTCCTTTCCTAATAAATAATAATTATATTAATAATTATTAATAATTATTATTTATTATTATTAGTTGTTTAAATCTATAAACTGCATTAATATTCATACCAAAAGAAGGTTAGTTGAAGTTTTACTCGATACTGAACAAACGCTCGCCGTTTGATTTGGATATTGAGCCTCAAATGATGAAAATCTATGAAATAACTCCGGATACCAAGTAAGCAGTGTATAAAATGAAGATGCAATGCAGAAAAAACAAATGCAGAGAATTATTAATCTCTTCAAATATGGAGCTTTAAAGGCAGCTTCTCCTTGATTTTTGAAATCATTTAATATTGCCTTCAAATTTTGTTTGGAAATTTTCTCATTCTCAGGAGATGATTTAGTTACAGCGTCATTGATGAATTCTCTTATTCCCGGATGTTTACTATTTGTCAAGTTTACCTGAAACAAAAAAACGAAATTTTTTGCAACATAAATTTACTAAAAGTACAAAATTAATTTATTAACAATAAAAATTTTTAAATAGAATTTAAAAATAAGATTTAAAAATAGAATTTAAAATTGGAATTTAAAAATAAAGTTTTTAAAGTAAAATTAAAAATAAATTTTAAGAATAAAATTGAAAAATAAAATTTAAAAAATAAAATTACTAGAATAAAATTATTACAATATATTCTTCGGCCGATCCACCAGCATTTTCCCAGTACATATCAGTTAAAACTCTCATTAATTTTTCAGTTTGTCCGGATTCTGACAAATATTTTGGAGTCTCAGCACAGAAGATGAGACGAATTCCAAGAATTTCGGCTGGAATTGCACAGGCAACGAGAAATAGATTCCATGATCGAAAGAAGAAATAATGACTTTGATATACAAATTGAAGAGGAATGATAGCCCAGGCCAAAACTGAAGTAAGTAATTAAAAATTAGATTTGAAAGCGTATTTTTAAAAAAAACATAGTTTATAATTTCTAATAATATGAATTTTTGTTTTTTAAACAATTTTACGCACTTACGAGGCACGGCAATTATTCCAGTGACCATAATAAAGCTCAATAATGACAAAATTCTCTTTTGATATTTCAACGGTTGAAATTCGCCCACATACGGAAATAAAATAGACATTTCTCCGATTACTCTGAAAATAAAAACCATTTCTTTAATATTCTAATTTTCAATTCAATTTTAAATTTCAATTCAATTTTAAAGATAATATTTTAGTTTTCAATTAAGTTTTAAAAATATTCTAATTTTCAATTAAATTTTAAAATGAATATATTAATTTTCAATTCAGTTTTAAAAATAATATTTTAATTTTGAATTCAGTTTTAAAAATAATATTTTAATTTTCAATTTAATTTTAGAAAGAATATTTTAATTTTCAATTTTTAATCGGAATTTAATTATTTAATTAACTAGAATCTAATTTTCCAAATTTTGTAAAATTTTTACCCTCAAAAAAAAAAAGAAAATAATTCAAATAAAAATTGTTTAATACAAAAAATCCATTGTAAAAAATAAATTTTAAATCAAAATATGAAAAATACTCACGCAAAACCGCTTAGAAATTTGAAAAAAACAACTCCATAATAATTGGAAACTAGAGAAATTAATAATTCCGCGTTTCCTTGAATAAACAATGCGAACATTAATGCTATTCTGCGACCTTTTAAATCTGCCAAAAAGCCCCAAACAATCGAACCAATGCAGGATCCTGAAAAAAAAATTGAACGGAAAATTTATAAGCTAATAAATAAATGGTCCTAAAATTTCGAACAATCAAATGAACGATAACTTTTTTTGTTACTCCTTTAAATTTTTATTTAATTTAAAAAACTATCTTCTATATTAAAAAAAAAATTAATTCTTAACTTTTATTTTACATTATTTTTCATTTCAGTGTATAATAATTTTCTCGAAAATATTTTTATTTTTAATGGATTTGAATTTTTCCGGAATTAAATTCACAAAGAAATTTGTCCCCAGCACAGTTAGTCCCACATTTTTTTTCATAGTTTTAATTTTCTTATTTTTATTTTTACTAATTATTATCGTTATTATTAGGATAAAAAATTGACATACCAACCACATGAGCAATCGCTATTCGTCCTTTATCGATAGTTGTCATTTGAAAATCACAAACTGCAGCCGGCAAAATAAAGCCAACGCTGAGAATATTAATAACTGCATTTGTATAAATCGCAGCCCCAAGAATTGCAATTTTTAAATTAAATTTTCCAAATCCTAGAAAAAAAGAAAAAGATATATTAATTTTCTTTATTATTATTTATTTTGTTTATTATATTATTTTTCTATTTCTCACCTGTATTATCGATTGCATGTTGTATAACACTCTCTTGTGTTTGGTCTTCTGTAAAAATCAAATAATTATTAAATCGGAAAAAAATTTATTTCATAAAAAAACATGGATAAATAAAAAAAAAAAAAATGAATAAATTTTTATTTAAATAAATTTGTATTTTTATAATTTGAAGAACGTATTTTTTTCCACCATTATTTTCCTGATAATAAGTAAAAACAAATAATTGTCTAGTAAAATGAAAAGAAAAAAAACTAGGAAATCGTAAACGTAACCACAATAATGAATTAGTGAGTAAATAAAAATGATATATTATTAAATAATTAATTACACATTATAAAGAGACCTTCTCATTAATTATATATATGCTTTGAAATAAATAGAAAAAAATATCAAGATAGTTCAGAAACACTTATATAGTAATAAGATCCTAGCAAAAAAAGTATTAATAAATGTGAATTTCAAACTCATTTCAATAAATTGGAATACATTTTTCTTTATAAATAAATTCATATAAAATTTTATATTTGACAAAAATTTGATAAATTAATTGACAAATTATTTAACAAGTTTTATACTTACTCATTGAATTAAAAAAAATTTTCCAAAAAAGAAATTTTTGATTGATATTTCCAGCACTTCGTCCGACAAAATAAATAATTTTCAAAACAATTTTATTTTTCGTTTTATATTCAAAATGAAAATAAAAATTTTATTTAATAAAGTACTAGTCGACGACTTTTTCATGAATAAACAATTCCTAGGAAAAATTTTCTATTTTACTGAAGAAAATCAATCTTCATTGTGAATCGATTAAAAAGCATCATATGAATAAACTTATGAATGAGAGAAGAATGATTCATGTTGCTGGTAAATAAATCGAGACAAAAAATATGCAATTTTAAAAGCAAAACAAATTTTACTTAATACAGAATAAAAGAAACAAGAAATAGATATATACCTATTTACTTGGGAAATAAAAAAAAAATAATAAATAATAGTAAAAAGATAATAGTAACAAATAATAGAAAAAAATAGATTGCAAAATATTAATTTTATCAGAGAAAATAGTGAAAATTATTTAGCAATTAATTAGATTAATTAAACAAATTAGCAATTAAATATCTAAAAGTCTAAATTAGATTTTGTCTTTAATAATAAGTTGAAATTACTTAAATTGCATGTTATAAACACTGCGGTAGACAATAACAATAATAATGATTAAAAATTGAAATTAAATTATCATCGGAAAATCTAATTTTCAACGCGGTGGAAAATTTAATAAAGCATTAAATTAGCAATGTTATTTGTAAATGGGTGATTCATTTCTTTTCATGCTATCTTTAAGTATCTAATAAATTTACACGACATTATCTACGCAGAAAATATATACTAATTGTTCACAAAATAATTTGTTAAATAAAAATGCCAAAAAGGAATAATACTACGAAAAATGCAAGAAAAAAAATAAATAAAACATTAAAATTAAAATTAACCAATTTCTATTTTTTATCTTTTTCTCTTTTTTTTTAAAAGAACGTTATTTTTAATTATCGTATCTCTTTCTATTGATTTAAAGATAATTAGGAACTAATTTCAAAGCACAAAGACCTCAAATTAAAAATTTGAATTTATACAGACAATTAAACAGACAATCAAAATCTAATGATAAAATACGTCACATTATCAAAAAAAAAAAAAAATAAAATATTTGTATTCTTTATAGTCTTTAATCACTTTGTAAATAATAAAAATAGGGAAGTATTGTAAATTTTTAAAAATTCATCATAATTAAAAGCAAGCAAACAAGAAGCTTTAAATTTTTTGAATTCATAAATTTCTTTTAATTTGAAAATATAACTTTAGATAAATTTGCATCTTAATGAAAGAAAATTAAAATTTTTTTTTAAATAGATTTAAAAATTTTTTAAAAATATAAATTAATAGTAATCAATAGTAATTAGTGTCATTTTGCCATATGCACTTTATTTAATTTGAAATATAAAAGAAAAAAAAACAATTTAAAATAATAATGATACTTATAAACAGAATTAGCCTACATATTCAATGTTTACTTTTGTTTGGTTCTAATAATTTATTTCTTCATTTATCATTTTTATTTCATTTAATTAATTTAACTTTAAAAATTAGTATTTATGAAGAAAATAATTAGACCTTAACAAAAATGGTACTAAATTTGGAATTTCGTGTCAAATACAGAATGCGCCTTTCACTTCGATGGGAATTAATTTTGCCAAAAGATTATTTGTCGTTTTATAGAGATAAAAGAAGGATTATAAAAAAAAATTATTTTTTGTCAATTCTTATTAATTAATGATTATTAACAAAAATAAAATATTCCGAAGAATTTTTTCTAACTTCAAAAAATTAAAACTTTTTTTTATATTTAAATTTTGTTTCATTAAGAAAAAGTTAATTAGTATTTAAAGTGACGTAAAAATACATTAATTTTTAAATAGTGTTAGATAACTTAGATTTATTAATAAATGCAAGTCATTTAAATATGTACGTAAATGACTGAATTCCACTGTTTTTATTAATTATTATTATTGTCCTTCTGCACAGACTATCACTCGGTGAAATTTACTATATTCGTTATATTTTTTATTTAAAACTGAAATATTTGACGATTCGATTTCCATTTTATTAATAATAAAATTATTTTGATTGAAAATTTTGAATTTTGAAAAACAATTGAATTTTATAAAGAATTTCTTTCATGTTTTTAAAATATGTACTCGTGTTTGTTGATAATTGAAAATAAACATTTGATTAAAAACTTTTAGAAAATAATTAAATTCTTATAAACTATTTTATTAGAGTTTTTGTTAATAATTAAATTCTTGCAAAGAGATTTATTAAAATTTTCGAAAAAAAAGAAGAGATGATTAATTATATACTTAAGTAAAAATTTTAAATTTCAAATCAGAATTTATTTAAAAATTTATATTGGAAAATAAAATATTTGGTAATTTGTATAATAATTGTTTAATATTTTAATTTCAAATATTGTTTTCAAATATTGTTTTTAAATATTGTTTTTCAAATATTGTTTTCCTCTATTTGTCATCTGCGTAAATATTAAAATTTCAAAATAACAAGAAATTATTTATCTACCTTAATTTTTTAAGTTCCATTTTCACAGTAAACGAAAAATATGAAAAATATTCCCAGTCAAACCTCCAGCTGAACTCTCCGAATAAACTCCCATTAAAGTCCATTTCTCATTGAATGTACCTCTGAATAAAATTTTACTGCGATCGGTCAGAGCGAATATTTTTCATTACTTGTTGAATAATCTAATACTGAAAAGAAAATTTGAAATTAGAAATTTGAAATAATTTTATTTTGAATAGAGTTTTTAAATTTGAATTTTCTATTAAAAATTATTTATAATTTAATTTTCACTGATGGAAGAAATGTTTATCGATAAATTCAATATTTATTACCTGAGTTGCTCCAATTCTCGAAAATATTAATGCCAGACTTGTAGTATTTTTCATTGCTATTGATTTTGCATATTCATGAATTAAAATCGCTGCTATATTTCTTATAGTAATGACTTTCACGTTTTTTTCTCGGCAAGTCTATCGATTTCCTCCGCCTGAAAGAAACAAATGAAACATTAATTTTCAATTCAAATAATCATATATAATAATAATTAATAATATTATTATAAATTTTTTACAACAAAAGTAATTTCATAAAATTCTTTACATTTCGTGATCTTGACAACTTCAAAATTATTTTTGCAAAATATTCTGATTTTTAAAAATCATTCGGCGTTTTTGAAAATAATTGAATTCCTAAAAAGCATTTTATTATTTATGAAAATAATTGAACTCTTGCGAACAATTTTATTAAAATTTTTTTTAAATAATTATATTTCTAAGAAGAAATTTATTATTTTTAAAATTATTGAATTCTTGTGATGAATATTGTTATTTATGAAAACAATTGAATTTTGCAAAGAATTTTATTAAAATGACTCAAAATAATTGAATTTTTGGGAATAATTTTGTTAATTATCTTTAATAATTAAATTCTTCCGAAGAATCATTTTATGTAAATACTTAAATTCTTGGGAAGAATTTTATTAAAATCTAAAAGAATAATTGAATTATTTGTAAAAAATGTAATTAAAATTGTATTTAAAATAATTGATTTCTTTCGAACAATTTTGTTAAAGTATTTGAAAATAATTGAATTCCTGGGAAAAATTCTAATATTCTTGTAAATAATTGAATTTTTCCAAAGAATTTAAAAAAAACATTATTTTAAATAATTGTTTTAGAGGAATTGAAAGCAAATTTTTAAGAATAATTACATTTTTGGAGCAAATCCTGTAAAATTGTATTAAAAATAATTGAAATTCTTCGATGAGTTTTATTATTTATTTATTTATAAAAATAATTGAATTTTTGCTTTAGAATTTTATCAAAAATTTTTTTTTTTTAATTTAATTTTCATGACAAATTTTATTATTAGTGAAAGTAATTGAATTATTGTGAAGAATTGTATGACAATTTTGTTAAATAATTAATTTTTTCAAAAATTTTTATGAAAATGTTATTCTAAATTAATTGAATTCCTGTGGAAATTTTATTATTTTTTGAAAATAATTGAATTTTATCAATTTTTATAAAAAAATAATTTAATTCTCTTGCTAAATTTCATGAAAATACTAGACATTAAAAATTATTGAATTTCGAATATTTTTTGAAAATAATTGAATCGTTTGAAAGAATTTGATTATAATTTTTGAGAATAGTCTTTTGATTTTTAGTATTAGCGAATTCAAAGTAGAGGAAATTGTAAAAAAAAAACAGAAAAAACAAAAATGTGAAATATATAAGTAAAAACTTTACCTTTTAAATAGTGGTGAACTCATGAGGTAATTTCAATTATAAGATTATTTAAAAAAGTCTATGTCACTTGATACTTAAGTGATAATTTTCTAATTAAAGCCAAAAACTTGATCATAAATTAGATGATTTATTAAAGAACGAGTAAATGATGAGCTGATGATTTAAAATTCGTGGAATAGAATTTCTCATTTCTTAGACTTGTTAAAATTTTCAATTTGTTTCAATCAGCTTGAAAGACCGTTTCTTTATAAATCCATGCGTTAATCGTAAACTCCAATATTTTTAATTGCAAAATATTGGTAATTAATTTCAATCACTGGTTATTTCCGTTTAAAATCAGAATTGTTCTCTAAAAATTAAATCTTTAGAAAGAGTAATTAATTAATTCATTAATTAATTAGAGAAGATTCTTCTACTTATTATGTAATCATCAAGATTTTACGTACTAATCGTACTAATTCTATATGTAATTTTATAATTATTTTATTTAACAAGGTTTCGAGTGTAAATTTTTGTTTATTAAAAATATTAAAAATATTTTCATTAAATTCATTCTTAAATCTTTCACTATTTTTTTTCAGTCTTTCAGTATTTTTTTCAATCTTTTACTATTGCTTTCAATCTTTCACTATTGAAATAAAAATCGATGAGTGAATCTCAATGGACGGACTTAAAACTATCACAAACGATTTCTAAAATATAGATCAAATTACGTCCTTAGATTATTGATAGCCTTCTCCAAAATATCCTTCTTGATTCTCGGATAATCGGGACTTTGTTTCAACACCTCATTACATGCGTCAACTGCATCGGCGTACAATTTACTTTTTAAATTACAATACGCCAATTTACATCCCATTGAGAGTTTTGATTTCCCTCCGAATTTCCATGCTTGAGCATAACGTGCCGCAGCTTCACGATAATTTTGCTCCTTCTCCGCAATAAAACCCGACAATTCATGCGCCCTGATACAAGTCGCATTATGCTGCAAAGCTCGTCTCAATAATTCCTTCGACAAATCGTATTTATTCGATTGAACATAAATATCGGCCAAAAGTAACCAGCAACGTTCCAAATATTCAGCATCCTCAAAAGTCCATACATTCTTGCTGACACGTTTCAAATGATTTCTCGCTCGCGGCGTTTGTTTCAGAAGAATATGAGCCATTGCTAAACCCAATGCCGGACCCACATGATCGCGAAGAGAATCATCACTCGCCATCGATGTACAATCGTGTAAAGCCTTTTCGATATTGTATTTCTGTTTAGTGGCGAGAAGGAAAAAATTACCCAAAAGACGATGAGTTAAAGATTCGTGTGGACTGCCAGTGGGAAAGAGTTCATTCAATAAACGTTGAGCTGTTTTTAAAGCCATTGTCCTTGCGTCTTCATACTCCTCGTCCTCGTCATTGAAGGCTTCATTCAATAATGGCGAATCGTCGTCTGGATCGAGACAGATTTCGATCATATTGTAAATAGCCTGCTGACCCCATTCGGGATCTCGTCGTGCTGCATTAAAATTTCTTAGAGCTGTATTTAATTTCCCAATTCGCCAATTTAATAGACCATTACAATAATAATAGCCAGCTTCCTGCTTTAGGGGATCCATCGATTTTTCCGCTCGCGAGACCCACTCTTCCAGATCGTCCATGTTACCTAAAAATTATTTTTACATTATTGAAATTTTATACACAAGCAGTGTGTATAAAATGGTGGAGAAAATAAATTTTTCCTTCACCTGTTCTTCTTGAAACTTCAATTAATCTCGCCAATGCTGTCCAATAAGTTGGCCTTTGAAGGAGAAGTTGACGAAAGTAAACCGCAGCAGTTTCAAAATCCACTTTTCTAAATGCTAAATCAGCCATCATTACTGAAGCTGCTTCGTTGTTTGAATCGGCTTTTAGAAGAGTCATACAAGTTTGTTCGCACTTGTCCAAATTGTTCACCTTCGAAAATAAAATAAATCAATTTTTTACTATTAAGCAAATTAGAAAATTTTTTATAATCAAATATCAAGTTCAATTTTTCAATAATTATAGACTGAAAATTAAAATTAACTTATTAATTAACTAATTAATAAATTCATTATAACTATTATTAATTATTTTCAAAAAGTTTTTTAATTCTTTACAAGAATTTAATTATTTTTGAAAATTTTAATAAAATTCTTAGCAACTATTCAATTATGTTCATAAATAATAAAATTCATCGCAGGATTTCAATTATTTTTAATACAATTTTACAGGAATTGCTCAAAAAATGTAATTATTCTTAAAAATTTGATTTCAATTCCTCGAAAAAATCAATTTTTTAAAATAATATTGTTTTTTTAAAATTCTTTGGAAGAATTCAATTATTTACAAAAATATTAGAAGTTTTTACAGGAATTCAATTATTTTCAAATACTTTAATAAAATTGTTCGAAAGAAATCAATTATTTTAAATACAATTTTAATTACATTTTTTACAAATAATTCAATTATTTTTTTAGATTTTAATTAAATTCTTCCCAAGAATTTAATTATTTACTTAAATAATTCTTCGGAAGAATTTAAATATGCCGATAAATAACAAAATTATTCCCAAAAATTCAATTATTTTGAGGCATTTTAATAAAATTCTTTGTAAAATTTAATTGTTTTCATAAATAACAATATTCATCACAAGAATTCAATTATTTTAAAAATAATAAATTTCTTCTTAGAACTGTAATTATTTTAAAAAATTTTAATAAAATTGCTCGCAAGAATTTAATTATTTTTATAAATAATTAAATTCTTCACAGGAACTCAAATAGTTTTAATAACAAATTTTAATAAAATTTTTCGAAAGAATCCAATTATTTCTAAACATTTTAATAAAATTCTTCAAAAGAATTAAAATTTTTTCATAAATAACAATTATTTTCATATATTAATAAAATTCTTCACAGCAAATCAATAATTCACAATATAATTTTTTTTTTAAATCCCCGGAAAAATTCAATTATTTTCAAAAATTTTGTTAATATTATTCGAAACAATTGAATTATTTTCAATAATGTTATTAAAATTTCGCGAAAGATTTAAATTATTTTTGAAAATGTTAATAACATTTTTGAAAGAATTCAATTATTTTCAATACAATTTTAATTGAATTCTTCGGGAGAATTCAATTATTTTCCTAAATTTTAATGAAATTTAGTGAAAGAATTCAAATTTTTTATAAATAAGAAAATTCTTCGCAGGAATACAATTATTTTCAGTACAATTTTAATTGAATTCTTTGAAAGAATTCAATTATTTTAAAAAATTTTAATGGAATTTTTTGCGAAATTTCAAATTTTTTTTTGCAGTAATTTAATTATTCTCAATACAATTTAAATTGAATTCTTTGATAGAATTCAATTATTTTCCAAAATTTTAATTGAATTTTTTGCAAGAATTCAATTTTTTTCCTAAATAATAAAATTCTTGACAGGATTTAATTGTTTTCAATACAATTTTAATTGAATTCTTTGAAAGAATTAAATTAGTTTCCAAAATTTTAATTGAATTTTTGTCAAGAATTCAATTTTTTCCTAAATAATAATATTCTTGACAGGATTTAATTATTTTCAATAGGTAAAATTTTAATTGAATTCTTTGAGAGAATTTAATTATTTTCTAAAATTTTAATTGAATTTTTTGCAAGAATTCAATTTTTTTTACTAAATAATAAAATTCTTGACAGGATTGAATTATTTTTAATAGGTAAAATTTTAATTGAATTCGTTAAGAGAATTAAATTATTTTCCAAAATTTTAATTGGATTTTTTGCAAGAATTCAATTTTTTTCCTAAATAATAAAGTTCTTGACAGGATTTAATTATTTTCAATAAGTAAAATTTTAATTGAATTTTTTGCAGGAATTCAATTTTTTTCCTAAATAATAAAATTCTTTGCAGGAATTAAATTATTTTAAAAAATAATAAAATTCTTCACAGCAAATCAATAATTTACAATTCAATTTTTTTAAATTCGTCTAAAGAATTTAATTATTTTCAACCATTTCTATAGAATTCTTTGAAATAATTCAATTATTTACAAAAATTTTAATAATTTTTTCACAGGATTTCATATATTTTCTATAACAATTTTAATAAAAATTCTCAATAGAATTCAATTTTTTTTAAAAATTTTAATAAAATACGTTGATAAAAGTCAATTATTTTCGATACAGTTCTAATAAAATTCTAGGAAAGTATTCAATTTTTAAAAAAAAATTTTTTAAAAATTCTTTTTAGGAATTAAATTATTTTTAATACAATATTAATTAAATTTCTCCAGTTTTTCTTGTAACATAAATAACCAGGAAAATAACATTAATCGAATGTTAATTTAAATTTCCAAATTAAATTTTCATTTTCAATTCAAAACAATTTAGTTTCATTAATTTTTTGTTATTATTTAATCATCAAAACATTTAAAGAGAAAAATTATATTTAAAAAATTAAGAAACAAAAAAATAAAAAAGATGCTAATTTAAATAAAAAGAGTAAATAAATATTTATTCTCTAAATTCTTTTATTTAAATTTAAATAAAATTAATTTTTTTTTAAATTGAAGTAAAATTTATATTTTACTCACTTGCATATAAAGTTTGGCGAGCGACAATAGAGCAGTGATATCATTAGGTTTGTAACTTAAGGCCTCCTTGTAATAATCAATTGCTTGATCGAATTCCCTCAAAGTTGTTGCATGATCAGCAATGTATAAACAAATCTGCGTTAAAGTTTGCTTACGAATTGCCGTATCGCTTGACGTAGCAGCTCGCAGAGCGTATTTATTTTGATTATCTTTCGCATCCTTTAGTGTGGAAAGTGCTCCTTTTATGTTTCCACTCCTTTCACGAACTTTAGCCAGTAACAATAATTGTTTTCCTCGAATCTCCAGATCTTGGGGATCCGAACCTGAAGAACCAACTGCAATAACAATTAACTATTAAGCTTGAAAGAAAATTTTGAATTCAAATTTACAACAGAGTTTGAAAAACTTTAAAAATTAAAAAAGTAAACGACTAAAAAAGTACTGAGAACTACTAAATAAACTACTAAAAAATACTAAATAAACATCTAGTAAATACTAAAAACTACTAAAAATTACTAAATAAACAACTAGAAAATACTAATGAAACTACTAAAAACAAATATTTGTTTTTAGTAGTTATGGATATTATTTATGGATAGAATTTTTAAACTGAAATGATAAATTTTTCCGTTTGGAAATGTATTTAAGATTCTTTTTAACAGTTACTTCGTAATTCCTGTAGGAGTCTCGTTTCTGCCTTCTCGTACATCTTCAATTTCATAAACAGTTCAGCCATGTCGAGTTTCAAATCTCCGAATTCTTTTTGTTTTATGATTCTCTCATAGTATTCGATAGCTTTTTCGTATTGATGAGTTTTCACTAAAGCTTTTCCCATTTTTCGAGCTAAATTCTTATCGCTCGCATTGCTTCTTAATGACTGTTCATAAGCTTCGATTGCTCTTTCCGGTTCCTGAATTGCAATGTAAGCATCACCCAGCATGCTGTAAGTTTCTGAACCAGGACAATTTTCCACCAGATCTCTGAAAACGATATATAATAATTAACTTTATTATTTAATTAATTATATTAATTTATATTAAATTAATTTATTTATTTCTTCAAATTAAATTATTACAATAATTTTGCGTCACTATCAAGAAAATTAGTTATTAAGTTTCTAAATGCAACGCTTAAGTTTTCAATTTTTATTGCAATCATTAATTTATGAAATTTAATAGAAAATTATTTTTAATACAATTTTGATAAAATTTCTCGAAAGAATAAAATTATTTTTTAAAATATTATTTAAATTCAATTATTTTCAACAATTCTAATAAAATTCTTAAAAAAAATTATTTTTATAAATTGTAAAATTCTTGGCAAGAATTCAATTATTTTTGTTAATAATAAAATTCTTCTGAGAATTTCAATTATTTTCAATACAATTTTTAATAAAATTTCTAGGAAAAAATTCAATTATATTCAAGATAATTTTAATAAAATTTCTCTAACAAGTTCAATTATTTTTAAAAATTGTAATAAAATTTTTCTAAACAATTCAATTGTTCTCAAAAGTTTTTAATAAAATTCTTTGTAAATTTCAATTATTTTCTAAATTTTCAATTAAAATTATTTTAAAAAATTACATTATTTTTACGAAATTTAATGAAATTCTTAAAAAAAAATGTAATTATTTACAAAAACTGTAATAAAATTCTTTAAAAGAATTTAAGTTTCTATTAATAATTTTAATATAATTTAATAGGAAAATCGTTAATTACAATTAATAATAAACACGATTATTTTAAAAACTTGAAAGAAATTCTCATTAAAATTCAATTATATTTAAAATTTCAAGTAAAAATTATTTTTAAAAAAATTCATTATTTTTAAGAAAATTGAAATAAATTCTTCAAAACAATTCAATTACTTTAAAGAATTTTAATAAAAATCTTGACAAAAATTAAATTATTTTCAATACACTTTCAATTCCATTTTCTGAAAAGAATTCAATTATTAAAAAAAAGTTCATAAAATTCTTGAAATTAATTGAATTATTTTCAAATTTTTTTAATAAATACTTTACAAGAATTCAGTTTTTTTCAGTACATCGACAATTTAATTATTTCTGAAAATAATTGAATTCTTAAATTAAATTTTATTTTTAATGAAAATAATTGAATTCTTGAATTAAATTTTATTTTTTATGAAAATAATTGAATTCTAGGAATTGAATTTTATTTTTTATGAAAATAATTGAATTCTTGAATTGAATTTTATTTTTTATGAAAATAATTGAATTCTAGGAATTGAATTTTATTTTTTATGAAAATAATTTAATTCTTGAATTGAATTTTTTATGAAAATAATTGAATTCTAGGAATTGAATTTTATTTTTTATGAAAATAATTTAATTCTTGAATTGAACTTTATTTTTTATGAAAATAATTTAATTCTCGGAATTGAATTTTATTTTTTATGAAAATAATTGAATTCTTGAATTGAATTTTATTAAAAGTTTTTTTTAAATAATTGAACTCCTGTGAAAAATTCAATTGTTTTTTTAAAATAATTGAATTTTCTCGGAGAATTTTTACAAGATTTTAAAAATAATTGAAATTTTCGAAGAAATCAATTAAATTTGTATTGAAAATAAGTGAAATTCTGATAAGAATTTTATTATTTATATAAAAAAAATTGAATTTTTTACGAAGATTTTTATTTTTTATAAATTTACTAGAGAATTTTATTGCAATTATTGAAAATAATTGAATTCTCCATGAAATTCGATTATTTTCAAATTTTTTGATGAATACTTTACAAGAATTCAATGCGCATGATTTTCAGTAAATTAATTTTAAAATTTTAAACGTTCAAAAAGTTAGGAAACAAAAAAGTAAATAGCAATTAACTTCAAACTGTGAACAGATTACCGGAATACAACGGTTATTTAATAGAAAATATTTTCATAAATTACTTATTACAATAAAAAAGAAACTAAATTAAATATTTAACACTTTATAATTATTATTATTAATAATTTAATTAATATATTAATAATTATTATAATAATATATTATTATAATTATAAATTTTATTCTGAAGGATAAATAACTATTCGTTCAGAACTCTAGGAAACAATTTATTGATTATTTGTTTCTTTTATTAACTATTTTGAAAATTTACCTGAAACATTTAGCGAAAGCATCGCGGTCCTTTCTGTATTTCAAGTGAATCTCAGCCAATTTAATGTGAGCCTGCAAATAATACGGTTCGCCAGGCAAAACTTTGGACAGTAAATTCAGTGCCTTATCAATATCTCCCATTTCTAAATTAAGTTCCGCTTTCGCTATAATAAGTCTACCTTCCTCGGCAGTAGCTTTAAGTTTCAATTCCGCCTCCTCAATCAATAGCAATGCTTCGCGGAAATTTCTCATCTTTATATAAGCGAAAATTAATTCGGTAAATAATGTAGCCCTATCGGATATTGAAATCGGAATTGGAACAGTATTCTTTTCGGTATTTTTCATTCCAGCAAAAGTCATTGCCGTGCGAAAATTTTGAATACACGCCTCGAGATCACCATTTTCCTTTGCTATTATACCAAGGATCATGTGATAATTCGGATTGTCTCTCACTTTAAAATTATAACTCAAACCCACCTCCAATGTTTGTGAGGCCAATTGATATTGTCCTCGGTGTACCAAAATTTGTGCCATCAATAAATGACCAGTGGCATTTGTTGGCTCGACAATGTCCAATAATTTCTTTAGAGACGTTAAAGCACCTTCGTAGTCGCCATTTTGCATTTTAATTTTTCCCAACATTAGCAAAGCATTGCCGAGACCAGGACACGCTTCAGTGACCTTTTCCAAAATTGCCAAACATGGATTATTTAGATCCGATTTATTATTCACTTTGGGGCTCTTCTCCAAGTCATTCGAAGCACCGCCCGGGGAATGGAGTAAATGCTCGTTAACTATCTCGAGACAGAGATCACAATTTAATTTCTTCAAATACTCGTAACCATAGGGAAGTCCTTCGCAATTTTTCCCCAAAATTATCGCCGCCGCGTCTAAATTCTTCAAAGCTTTATTTGGATTTGTATTTGATAATTTTGCCGACATAAAGAGAATTTCGGGAGTTGGCGAATGGGATTGTAGTTCCATGAGAAAATCGACTTGTTGACTTGCTAATTCCTTGGCAGTTGATGATGTGTCAAGTAATTGACAGTTTGCCAAACCTGTCAGAGCGGTGAACGAAGACTCATCGATTCGTACCGTATTTTGATACCATCGCTCTGCGTCTTTAACTTTACCCAATAGAATACAGAGATTTCCCAATTCGACCATTAATTCACCACTCTGTGTATTTTGATGTGCCATTTTTTCCGTTATTCGAAATAATTCCGTCAGTAATTCCTTATCACGACCTGATATTCGTGAGAATAGTTGAATATTATCATTAACGAGATCAACATTTTTCGTTTCAATTATTACCATATTTCGAAATAATTGCTGAATGTATTTCACTCCCTCTGAATAATCACCATCACGGCAGAGGGCAAGAAATGTTTTTGCCTTCATTGCATCGAGACTATTGTTATCGATTGATTGAATTCTATTCGCAGTCTCAAGGACTTGTTCCCATTCCTTCATGGCAAGTTGATTCAACATTTTCTCAACAAGTGGAAAACTGTACTTTGGATAACGAACGATTAACGCATTTAAAATTGCAATTGCACCTGAATGATCGTCGTGATATTCCTTGAATTTTGCACAACCCAAAAGAGCGTTCAAATGTTTGCTGTTTGATTTGAGAATTGTTTCGAAAAAATTTGTCGATCTTCCAAAAGTACTCTGAGTATTGAGATGAAGATCCGTCCAGCCTTTCGATATCAAAACATTTGAATCCGATGAATCTTGCTTGAATGCCCGATCGGCGTATTCTTTCGCCTTCTCTGGACGACGAATCAAGAGGAGAATCATCGCTGCTAGAGATAGTGCGGAAGGAGATGCTTTCCTTCGATCCTCGCGTATTTTTGCATCTATTTGAGCTACAGTTGTTCGATCGACATTTCCACTGGATTTGTGAATCAAACTCTGGACAAGTAGAGCAGGGAGACTAAATTCCCCATGGAGGATAATTCCCGAAACTTCCTTCAAGGCTTCGCGTTCCTGATTCGTTAAATGAAGTGCCAAGGCGAGGAGTATTTTCAAGCGATCACTTGATGGATACGATTCGCATGCTTGTCTCGCATGAGACAGCATTCCGTTGTAATAACACTGTCGACATGACCATTGAATTAAACTCTCGTACTCTAATTCATCCATTTTTACTTTGATCTTCTAAAATTACTATGTTTCAAAGTTTTTCAAAAGGTGGCAACCAAAAACCGAAAATGAATTGCTTTGTCAATTTAAAATAAAGACAGTAAGAATTTTTACAATCAAGACTTGGGAGATTTGATCATAAAATCTTCAGGATCTGGAATTTCGTAAATTGCACCAGGATCCGTAGTTTCTGCATAGGGAAATTCTAAAACATTTGGTGGTCCAATGACTCGTTCTTCCAGTTCAGCATTTTTTATCACAAGATAATATTTTTGAATGTAAACACATGTCAAGTACATGTGATAATCGTTGACAATCGCATACGTGAAAGCTTCCTGAAATCAATAAATTAATATTTAATAATATTATTATTATAATTATTATTATATTAATTATAATTAATTAATATAATTAATAATTATTATTATTAATTATTATTATTATTATTATAATATTATTTTATAAATAACGAATTAATAAATAAATAATAACGAATTAATAATAAGTTAATAACAAGTTAATAATTAATTAATAACTAAATAATAACGAATTAAAAACTAATCAATAAATAATCATTATCCAGGGTTGCCACAAATATTTAATTTTATTTTTCCCTTATTTCCAGACAAAATTTTCACTTTTTCCCTGACCCTGAAGAATATTCTGATTCACTCTAAAAATTATTAGATACTCAAAAAAATGTTCTATTACATTTATTTACAAATTTCTTTAATTGTCAAATTATTCGAAAAAAAATCAATAACTTCTTTTTTAAATAAATATTTAATCATTATTAATCTTCTGTAGGAATTAAAATTTTTCAAAACATTCAAATTCAAACCTTTATGAAATTCAACAATTTATAGGAATATTATTATAAAATTTTTCAAAAAAAGTTAATTATTTACAAAAATCCTAATAAAATCCTTCGCAAAAATTTAATTATTTTTACAAGTAGTAAAATTTCTCAAAAAAAATCAATTATTTAAAAAAAATGTAATAAAATTCGTTGCAATAATTCAATTATTTTCATAAATAATAAATCGATTATTCGTTAATTCATTTTTAAATCAATTTTTATTAGAAAATTCTAGAAGAATTCAATTATTAAAATTAAAAAATAAATAATTTATTAAATAATTGAATGCTTATTAAAATTTGTCAAAAATTTCTAAAATAATTGGATTTCGAAAAAGAATTTTATTATTTATAAAGATACTTGAAATATTGACAAGAATTTTTTTTATCATAATTGAATTTCTGCGAACAATTTTATTATTTATAAAAATAATTGAATTCTTGAAAAAGATTTCTGTTAAATTTTTTTAATTAATTCAATTCTTGCGACGAATTTTATAAAAATCTTTTTTAAAAATTGATATTTTTTGAAAAATTTTATGAAATTTTTTATTTTTAATAATTGAATTCCTATGAAAAATTTATTATTTAGGAAAATAATTGAATTATTTCGAAGAAATTTATTAAAAATTTTGTAAATAATTGAATTCCTGTGAAATTTTGCCAAGAATTTTATTAAAAGTTATAAAAATAATTGAATTTTGATGAAGAATTTTTTTTTTATTTATAAAGATATTTGAAATTTAGACAAAATTTTTTTTTTAATTTTTAAACATAATTTAATTCTTTCTAGAATTTTATTCAAGTTTATAAAAATTATTGAATTTCGGTGAAGAATTTTATTATTTATAAAAAGAATTGAATTCTTGAAAAGAACTTTGTTCAATTTTTTTTTTAAATAATTGAATTCTTGCGACGAATTTTATAAAAATCTTTTTAAATAATTGATATTTTTCGAAAAATTTTATGAAATTTTGTATTTTAAATAATTGAATTCCTGTGAAAATTTTATTGCTTATGAAAATAATTGCATTTTTTCGAAGAAATTTATTAAAAAATTTTGTAAATAAAAAGTTTATTGAGGTAAATTATTGAAAATATTGAACAAAAAATGTTAAAATTAATTGATTTTTAAAAAAATGCAACAAAAGAAGTTTTAAATTAAGTTTTTAAAAATACATTTAATTAATTTTTTAACAATAATATATTTTTTAATTAAATGATTTTCAAAAAAAGACAATAAAAAAAGTTTTAAATTAATTTTCTAAAAATACTTTTAATTAATTTTTTGAAAAATAATATATTTTTCAATTAAATTCAGTTTATAATAATTGAAAAATTTACAAGTAATTAAAATTTGATAACATTTTTTAAAACTATTTGATTTTTTGTAAAATATAAAGAAATAATCAAGTGTTTAATGAAAATAATTTCATTTTCAAATTGTTATTTGAAGATTTTTCATTAAAATTTTTGAGAATACACAATTACTTTCAAAATTTTCAATTAATATCATTAAAAATTTGATTTTCAAAAATTTTAATGAAATACTTGATGAAAAAAATCAATTATTTTCAATTAAATTTGACAAAATTGAAATTATTTAAAGTTTTTAATTAATTATTCAAAAAAAAATTTAATTACTTTTTTCAAAAATTTAATTATCTCAACAAAAAAATTAACCAAAAACAATTTTTGAAAGATATTTTACTATAGTTATTTTTCTCGGTATAAAAATCAAAATAATTTGCATTTTATGCCAGAAAAAGTGGTTTTTCGTTGCAATATTTGGAAGAAAAATCGAAGAAATAGTATTTTTTGAAAATAAGTCGAAATAAAGTCGTATTTTTGTAATTGAAAAGAAAGACCTTAAAAGAAGTACAATTATATTATCCAAGGACTGTTATTTTTTTAAAAATACCTCCGTTAAGCGTCGTGCCAGACCTTCTTCTTGATGTTCCTTGGGAACCGAAATTGTTCGTAAATCCAAGATTTTTCCATTCTTTTTGTATGTTAAAACAGCTCTCTCTTCTTTTGACCCCAAAAAGGAAGAAAAACAAATTAAATTCCAATAAAAATAATTTTTTTTCTTTGAAAAATTAAAGTTTTCTCACCATTGTTTCCGAGTTTTACATAAAAAATACCACGATTTGGATTATGAACTATCTTGTGAATAAATCGAAATTCATTGATATTTATTTTTCGAAAAATCCTGCTGAATGATAGATGTAAATTTCTTCCAAACATGTAAACAACTTTCTCTCACTCATAATTAAATTGGATTTTAAGGTTAAATTTAGTTCTTGATCGAAGGTGTATTAGTTGACAATATTAATTATACTTTCTTTACACTTTTTTTAAATGTTTTATTTATAAATTATAAATTATAATACTCGTAACAATTTAGAAAAAATATTATCAGAGGTTAGTTTCCTGAATGTTCGGTCGTCGCTTAGCAACGGAAATGTCAAAACTCCAAGGTTCTTCGTTTGCGCAGGCGTGTAAAGAAAATTGTTTCTAGAATTAAAAAGTTAAAAAATTGTTTTTTTCTAAAAGGAATTTTATTTCTTGAATTCTTTTATCTATATGATAAAATAGTAATAAAACTTTTGCTTTTTAAGCTTTTTAAAAAAGAGATTCTATTTGGAAATCTAGGTTCAAATTTTCCCGCCTAAAATGGCGCGCCGTCTATCGATTTTATTCCGTATTACTCATTCGTATCAGTGTACAGGCAAACTTCAAATCGACGTATATTCTTTTTAATTTCTTTAAGTGTTTTTTTAATAAAAGAATATTAATTACTTTACGCAGGAGATTTACAAAAATTCAGTGTGTTTAATAACGACTGGAGTGGACAATTCTAAAAATATATTTGCACTTTGGCACTTTTGAAGAGTATAAACAAATTGAAAATTTAACCTCAAAAATTGACAGTTCAACTCTCATTCTTGATTTTTTGTTGTCTTGATTGTCTTATACACAAAGAAGATATAACAATTATTTTTCGGGGAATAAACTAAGATTTCTCGGTTAAAAAAAAAACAATTCGAAACGTAGAAATTCGAGATATAAGAGAGAGTGGGTATCGTGCGAAATAGGTTTTTTTCATTCTCGCAGGTGGCGTTGTAAAAGTCATGTCCAGGTCCAGTGCTCCAGTTGTTAACGAATGTTAAATGAATTTCTACCGCGATGGGAGCCGCCACGTCGTTGCTATCGCCGCGGCTTGCGCAAGTGTATATTCCAAATGTTCTCTAGCGCAGAAGTATACGAATCCCTGCTGATTTGAAGGAAGTGCGGACTCGCGTGCCTTGTTTAAAGGCAAAAGGGGCGGCGGGGTGCCCTCGTGTAAAAAAGCTTTGACGTTATCCCGGCCCTCGTTTTAAACACACAGAGAGAAAGAGAGAGAGGCGTCCGTGTTTTCATTTTCGTTTATCGGCGGATTTAAGTGTGGCGTGTGTGGTGCGTGAGCGTGCGTTCAATGACAGCAAGGTGAGAGAGAGATCAATGTGTGATTGAAAACATGGCTGAGGAGCTGCTGGTTACTTTAACAAGACACGATACAACTGGATTTGGATTCTTATTGGGAACTGCCGGGCTACCTCATGTCATCTACAATATAGTTGAGAATTCGCCTGCAGCAGACAGCGGGAAGGTAAAAATATGCCGGTGGTATCGACCCACCCGACTTTATATCACGACGACCACCCAACCCGCTTTTATATACTCTCTAGTTTTTATTTTATTTTACCGTTCACCTTCTCTTTATTTTTAATTTTTCCCTTTATTGTCATGCTAATGTCACTAAAATGCGATCCTTACTTTATTATCTACACTTTCTACTTTTTTCTATCTCTAATTAGTCATTCTCGTCTTTGTTTGTTTTCATACTACATAAAAGGTTTTAATGTGAAATAATATATTGTTGACATTTAAAATTTTGTATAGTGATGATTTTCATTTTTGTAGGAAAAGTGAAAATAATGTTTTGAAAAGAGTTTGATTTTTGGGGATGAAAATTCTTGTTATCCTGCTCGCGGGTTTTGCAATAATTGGTAGGGTGGGATCAGCGAACCACATTCCTCTTTTGCCTGTTAGGAGATTCCCCTCGTGTGTCTGTGGCATTCGTTCTTCGGACTTAATTTTTTATCTCCATACACACAAATCTCACGAGATCTCTCAGTCTTGTTGGAAAGTCCGTCATTTGAAATTCCCCAAGAAATGCAACTTGTAATCTTGCAACCTCATTCACACGAGACGCCCAGATTGTTTTTCTCGCGGACAAAATTAGAAAATTTACACCCCACAGTCCTCTTTTCTGTTTATTTTAATTTTCTGACTTGAAAATGGATTTTCATTTTTTTTCTCTTTGATTTCATTTTTAGAGGGTAAAAATTTGCAAAAAAAAGTGAAGTCTTGAAATTTAATTACTTATAAGAATATATTTATTATAAAACATGAAGATATCGATCACTCCGAGTCTATCGACTCGGAGTGATCGCTTTCTTCATGTTTTATAATAATTAAAAGTGACCGAGTGATAAAATCATTATTTTATATTATAATAGAACACACAGTTGGAAATTAAAAAAATAATAACATAGTTGAAGTCCACAACGTTGATCAACGAAAAAATGTTCTTAATCAGTATATTATTTAAAGAGAACGCAACAATATATTGTCACAAAAATGTATAAAAAAGGTAGATTTTTATTTTTGCTTTAACAATAATTGTTGTATTTTTCTTTAAAGCAATATTCAAAAACAAAAAATTTTTTTCGTCGATCAACGTTGTGGACTTTAATTTCGTGAATATTTTTACTGTACTTAACTTCTTTAAAATTATTTTCATCCTTTCAATTCAATTATTATTTTCTACAATTTTCAAGAAAAGGTCTTCTTTAAATCAATTATTTTTGATAATTTTTGAAAAAGTTCTTTTGAGAATTTTCAGATTTATTTGTTTACAATTCAATTTTAACTGAAATTTCGATTATTCGAAAAATTCTTCAATTAAATATAAATTAGAAAATAAGAACTTGAAATAATTTTAAAAAATTTCGAAAAATACATCTTGAAAAAAATTAATTGAATAGAATTTTTAAATAAAAGTATGAAAAATTCAATTTCTTAAAGATTTTAATTGGAAACTTTTACAAAATTCAATTATTTCTAAAAATTTCAATTATTAGTAACTTCTCCACCAAAATTTAATTATTATCTAAAACTTTATTATCTAAAAATTATCATTTTTCATTAGAAAATTCTACGAGAATTCAATTATTTAAATACAAACATAGATAATTTATTGAATAATTGAATTAAAATTGAATTCGTATATAAAATTTTATCAAAAATTTTTTAAATTGAATTCTTTGGGACAAATTTTAATAAAATTTTTAAAAATAATAATTTTTTTTTAGGAATTGGATTAAAATTGTATTAAAAAGAATTGAAATTCTGCAATGAGTTTTATTATTTATGAAAATAATTAAATTATTGCGAAGAATTTTATAAAAAAGTTTCAAACAATTGGTTTTTTTCCAAAAAATTTATTCAATTATTCTATTTTTAATAATTGATTTCCTGTGAAATTTTCATTATTTTAGAAAATACAGTAGAACCTCGGTTATCCGAGCCTCGATTATCCGAGATTCCGGATTATCCGAGGCACTAAACATGATCGGATAATGCGGAATAACTCGGATAAAACGAATCGAGCGACTAAATTTGGAAAAAAAATTTTACAAAACCACTATTTGTGATCATTGCATTTAAAATTTCGTCCATTTTTGTCGTTTAATATTATTCTAACACTTTAAACACATGAAAAATAATTTAAAATAATGAAATTTTCATTTGTTCCGTGTTATCCGAGTTTTCGATTATCCGAGGCACCTCTTCCCCACATTACCTCGGATAATCGAGGTTCTACTGTAATTGAATAATCGTGTAGAATTTTGTTAAAATTGTTTTTAAATATAATTCAATTCTTTTGGGAAATTTTATTAAAATAATTGATGTACAAATTATTGAATTAAGAAACATTTTTGAAAATAATTGAAATTATGCAATGAATTTTATTAAAATTTTTTAAAATAATTGAATTCTTATGATAAATATTGTTATTTATGAAAATAATTGACTTCCTCCGAATGATTTTATTATTTATGAAAATAATTAAATTCCTGAAAATTTTTTTAAAATTTATGAAAATAATTGATTTACTGCGAAGAATTTAATGCCAAATTTTTAAAAAATTTATGCAAATTCTATTTTAAATAATTGAATTCCTGTGAAATTTTTATTTGTTTGAAAAATAATTCAATGTTCGTGTAGAATATTATCAAAATTTTTGTTTGATAATTGAATTCTCTTGCCAATTTTTTTAAAATATATAGTAGAATATTGAAAATCATAGAATTAAAAAAAAATGTTTGAAAATAATTGAAATTTTGCTATGAATTTTATTTAAATTTCTGAAAATAATTGAATTCTTGTGATGAATATTGTTATTCATGAAAATAATTGAATTATGTCGCAGAATTTTGCTATTCATTTATAAAGATAATTGAAATTTTGACGACAATTTTTTTTATATATTTTTTGAAAATAATTGAATTTTTGCGAAGAATTTTATTAATTTTGAAAATAATTGAACTCCCGAGATGGATATTGTTATTTATGCAAATAATTGAATTTTACAATGAATTTTATAAAAATTCCTGAATATAATTGAATTTCGGCGAAGAATTTTGCTATTTATAAAAATAATTAAAATGTTGACGAGAATTTTTTAAAAAATATTCGAAAATAATTGAATTCTTGAGATGAATATTGTTATTTATGGAAATAATTGAATTTTACAATGAATTTTATAAAAGTTCCTGAATATAATTGAATTTCGGCGAAGAATTTTGCTATTTATAAAAATAATTAAAATGTTGACGAGAATTTTTTAATAAATTTTTGAAAATAATTGAATTTCTAGAAAGAATTTTATTAATTTTGAAAATAATTGAATTCTTAAGTTGAATATTGTTATTTATGAAAATAATTGAATTTTTGGAAAAAGTATTTTAATATTTATGAAAATAATTGTATTCCTAAAAAGAATTGAAATTAAAATTTTTCAAAAAAAAAAAAAAATACTTCATTAAATGATTTATATAAGTAATAACTTTATGGCAGTTCTTCAATAGACTTTAGTTATTCAAAATAAATTATTATTGTCAGAAATAGAAGAAATTTAATGTTTTTTCATAAATTCAGAATTTTCTTATAAATTCTAAACATTTAATTTTTTCCAGTAATTTTAATAAAAATTCTTTAATTTCCCTGACTTTTCCCTCACCTATGGTAACCCTTTTCTTTTTTTTTTGTAGAATTTTCTTTCTCGCGAGTATTGTAAGACGAAAAAATAGGTGTGTCGTGATACCGGTATTCCAATTCAGTCTTGCAGATCTCTTTTAACTCATGCGGCACATATGGAATTACTGACAAGTGTGACAACTGATTATATATGCAAGTGTGTTAGAATATTTGTTTGGAATTTTTTTCACTTCTGATAAAATTTTCAAGATACACGTCGACGAAATCGTTTTTTTGGTGACAAACTGCCTTCTTAATTATGTGCATAATTTGCACTCATGACTGAATTTCGAAACATTTTAATGTCGAAACAAAATTTAATCAATATTTCATCAATATTTCATCAATATGAAAAAAGGAAAATTTTCTCCACATTTTGGAAAAATGGTAAATCAGCGAATATTTAATTTTTCCCCCAAAAGAAAATCGATATTAATATTTATCGAAGAAAGAAGATTGAAAAAAAAAGAAATTAAAATTGAAGAATTAAATCAAATTAAATCAAATTAATTTGAATTAAAATGAATTAGACTGAAAATTAGATATATTCAGATTGAAAAGAAACAATTCGAAATTTCCAGAAATAATTAAAACTGAAGAAAATAAATTAAATTGCAGGAAAAATTCGATAATTGAAATGGAAGAAAACTTTTTGAGAAATTGGCGACTATATGACTTAAAGAGGATAGAGTGTAAGAATTTATCTATTTCTAGACCGTAAACTGGTAAGACAACATTGAATGGGAAGGGAAAAAAAAGTAAGAGTAATAATGGTCAACTAACAGATGCCACTATATGGATGGTGTTTTTCAAGGCAAGTTTGTGAGAAAAGCCAATCTCGAATATTATAGATTAACTTCCATCCTGTAAAACAAGTCACGTTGAAAAATATAAGATTCCAATATAATTCATAGATTTTCTCGAATAAAAAAAAATACAGATGATCTTTAAATGAAAAAAATAGTCTATAATGTAGTAATATGATTACATACACTGAAGGATTTTTTTTTCGAAACACGATATTATTATCAGGGGTATCATTCTGTTACGTGAGATGGATAATACACACTGGAACTATATATATGTACATCGAGAGAATAACGTATATTATCGTGCAGAAAATTTCATCTTTAGAGCAAGTGAATTTTCACTGAAAATTTATTTTTTTCAATTTGGATTTATGAAGTATTTGCACTATTTTATAAATTCGCTAATAGTTGGAATAAAAAAATTATTTTCTAAAATTGTAATAAAATTTTCAGAAATAATTCAAAAAATTTTAATAAAATTCTTTCAAACGATTCAATTATTTTCAAAAAATTTTTGAAATTCAATTATTTCCAATAAAAATAACAGGAATTCAATTAATTAATTAAAATTAAATTTTTTGGAAGAATCAATTATTTAAAAATTTTTTTATAAACTTCTTCGTGAGAGTTCATATTCAATTATTTTTACAATTAACAAAATTCTCAGGAATTCAATTATTTTTAAACATTTTAATAAAATTCGCAACAAGAATTTAATTGTTTTTATAAATAATAAAACTCATCGCAGAATTTCAATTATTTTTAAATGCAATTTTAAATGAATTTCTCGAAGAATGCAATTATTCTTAAAATTGTATTAAAATTCTTTAAAAGAATTCAATTATTAAAAAAAATTTTGAATTAATTTGTTTATTAGAATTTAATAAATTATTTTCATCATTTTTAATTACATTTTTTGAAAGAATTTAATTATTTTAAAAAATGTTTCCGTAACATTTCAATTATTTTCTCAATATTTACTATTTCAATAAAATTTCCCAAAAGAATTTAATTATTTAAAAAAAGATTTTAATAAAATATTAAAAAAGAATTTAATTATTTTTATAAGTTATAAAATTTTTGCGGAAAAATTCAATTATTTCCAATACAATTTGAATAATTGAAATTCAATTATTATTATTTTCAGTGGAATTTTAATTAAATTCCTTAAATTCCTTAAAAACTTAAATTTTATCTTGAAACATCTAAATTTGTATTTATTTACAAATTTGATTCTTATATTATTATTTTTGTCTATTATTTTCATTAAATAATAATGTTATCACAGGAAATTCAATTATTTAATTTCAATTGTTTATTTCTCAAAAATATTATTAAAAATCTTTCAAAGAATTCAGTTATTTACATAAATAATAAAACTAATCGCAGAATTTCAATTATTTTTAATACACTTTTAATCGAATTCCTTGAAAAATGTAATTATTCTTAATAATTTTATTAAAATTTGCCAGAAAGTTCAATTATTTAAAAATTTGTTGATAAAATTCTTGACGAGAATTCAATTTTAAGTAATATTCAATTATTCAATAAATTATTTATTTTTGTATTTAAATAATTGCATTCTCGTAGATTTTTTTAATAAGAATTTATTTAAAATTGAATTCTGGTTAAAATTTTAGATAATAATTGAAAATTAGAAGCGTTATTGTGTGAATTTTTGGAAATATTTGAATTTTAAAAAGGTATCACATTAAAATTTTTGAATCTTTAAACATTATTTTCATAAATAATAAAATTCTTTTTAGGAATACAATTATTTTTATAAATAATAAAATTCATCGCAGAATTTCAATTATTTTTAATACAATATTTTAATCGAATTCCTCGAAAAATTTAATTAATCTTAAAAATTTTATTAACATTCGTCGAAAGAATTCAATTATTTAAAAATTTGGTGATAAAATTCTTTATGATAATTCAATTTTAAGGAATATTCAATTATTCAACAAATTACTTGTTTTTGTATTTAAATAATTGAATTCTCATAGAATTTTTTAATAAGAACTGCTTTAAAATTTAATTTCAGTAAAATTTTTAGATAATAATTGAATTTTTGTATTTAAATAATTGAATTATCATAGAATTTTTTGATAATAACTGATTTAAAATTGAATTTCAGTTAAAATTTTAGATAATAATTGAATATTAGAAGCGTTATAATGGAAATTTTTAGAAATAATTCAATTTATATAGATTTTTAAATTAAAATTCTTTAAATTTTATTTCCTGATAAAAAAAAAATAAGAAGTATTTAAATATTTATTTAACAAATGTTTTGAAATTTTGAAAAATAGAATTGCGAAATAAAGATAATTAAAGTTTTGAATAATTATATTTAAAAATTTCTACAAATAAAAATGATTGAATTTCGAAAAAATTATAGTTGTAATTTTTAGAAATATTTAAATTTCAAAAAGGCTTTACATCATTCTAAAATATTTTAATTCATGTGGAAAAATAAATAGGTATTTAAGTATTTATTTTAAAAAAATTATTCTATTTTTGAATGTAATTTAATTTAGTATAATTATGAAAAAATTGAGGCGTTAAATTAAATTTTTCGATGAATACATTTTTACAATTTTTTTTCAGTCTTAAAGCTACTCTTTGATATACTTTATTAAAAATTAATTATCGGGTACGAAGTCTGATTTTAACTGTTACAATTTTTTTTCCTATTTAAATTTGTAAATAGTGAAAATTTTTCTATACATTAATGAAGAATGTTGAAAATTTTATCATATAAGGTCAACAGAATAATTCTCTCCCGACGAAATTTCAAAAGTGCATAACATTGTTTGCGACAGTTTCGTAACACCTTTAGAGACGTTGCGCGTATACACATTTTAGCGTCGTTAAATTGGAGCAACATTGTTGTGTACATAAACTATAATGGATGTTCTATGCGTGTGGTTTAAGGGTAATTTCACAAAGTTTCGTCTTAGGATCAATATAATCACATATTCAATCTCTAAAGAGCTAACGTGAAACCATATTTACTCTCACGATCTGAAAAATTAAACTTAAAAAAAAAAAAAAAAAAAAAAAAAAAAAATTTCCTTCATCTCAAAAGTTGGAAAGTTTTATTCGTTACATAAATACAAAATATACGAGCAGGCAATCTTTTATGGTTTGCATTTTACATTGAAGGCAAAAGTGAACAGCTGCAACAACAACAACACAACGTTTCACGAATTTAATTATATTCTTCCGCTAGATGATAAATTTCCTACTATTTTCATTTTCAATTTATTCAATTTATGCGATTTTGCTCTCGACACATTTTCCAATTAATAATTTAATCATGGAATTTTCAATTTAATTGAAAATATATAAAAATAGTTTTTGTATTTTTTTTGTGCTTTATTTTGAAAATTCAAAGTTGATATAAAGAAGATAATTTACCTCGACGTGAAATAAATCACTGTCGAGAGAAAAAAGAGAAACGTACAAAAACAAAAGAAAACACAATAAGCAAATGGATTTTCAAATGGATTTTTGTGAAATGTTTTCTAATTTCACAAATTGTCCTTTAAGCTCTCGTGTAGTTGGCGTAATTGTTCAACACGATTGTTCCTAGCGCCGAGAAAGATGTTTAACCTTTTGAGATGTGTTGGACAGTTGAGAGGCTCATTTCCACAGGGTAAAGGATTAGGACAAGTAATCCAGACGGGAGCATCGTTCCAGAGAAGATCAAAACCACCAACTCTAATTTCACTGCCAGTTAACATTCGCTCCAGATCCAAAATGTTGAGCACGTCGTCTAGTATGTCGAATTTTACACGATAATCCTCGTGATCCGTGGGTGCAAGTGCAGGCGATGCATTAACCTCGAGTAACCAGGGCGTCAAATGTTCATCCAAAAGTATATCATAACCGTATAACTCGAAGGAATTATTCTCCTGCATCATTACCGGTTGTACCGCTTGCAAACTTGCCATAATAACACCTACGCAAAAGAAAAAAAGAATTTTTAAAGAAAACTTAGTCGAAATTTCTACAGTTCTCGGATATTATCACTTTTTTCCACTCTTTTATCGACTATTTTTGAAAAATGCGATTTTTTCCAACTATTTTCAAAAAAGTGCGATTTTTCCGACTTATTTGCAATTTTTTTCAATAACTATTATTTTTAGTAAAAATTTCTTAAAAGAATTCAATTATTTTTAATTCTTCACAGAAATTCAATTATATTTTAGAATAATAAAATCAACAAAAATTCAATTATTCATAGTAATTTTCAAAAAAAAAATCCATCCCAAGAATTTAATTATTTTTATTACACAATTTTAATTGAATTATTCAAAATAATTCAATTATTTTTCTTTCAATTTTAATAACATTCTTTGAAACGATTTAATTCGCGAGCTTTCAATTATTTTTATTAATTACAATAGAAAATGAATTCCAGGAAAAAGTTTATTATTTTTCAAAATTTTTACTAAAAAATTCTTCAAAAATTCAATTATTTTCAAAAATTTTACTAAAAAATTCTTTAAAAATTCAATTATTTTCATAAATAATAAAATTCTTTGCTGTATTTCAATTATTTTTAATAAAATTTTCAATTCATTTCTCGAAAAATGCAATTATTCTGAAAAATGATATTAAAAATTTCCGAAAGAAATTAATTTTCAATTATTTTCATAAATAATAAAAATTGTTTACCAAAATCCGTAATTACTTCCAATACAATTGCAATGTAATATTTCATTTTTTCAATTTTAATAACATTTCTCGAACGAATTCAATTATTTTCATAAATAATAAAATTCTTTTCAGTATTTCAATTATTTTTTATATAATTTTCAATTAATTCTTCGAAAAATGCAATTATTCTGAAAAATGATATTAGAAATTTTCGAAGAATTTAATTATTTTCATAAATAATAAGAATTGTTTACCAAAATTCAATTACTTCCAATTTTATAGGAAAAATTAAATTTCAATAGATTTTTAAATTAAAGTCTGAAAATTTTATTATTTGTATAACTGTTGTTATATTCAAATGTTTATTTTAAATTAATTTATTATTTTCTTAAAAAATTAGTAAAATTTTGAATAAAATTAATTAATAAATAAAATTAATTTTTTCTAATTAAATTTTCGGATTATACAATTAAAAACATTAGACAGGATAAACAATTGGAATTTTGTAAAATTTAATTGAAAATAATTGTTTTTTTTCAAGTATTTAATTACAATTTTTGAAAATCAACTTTCGAAGAATTTTAAATGCAAACTTTCGAAATTAATTAAATTCTCAAAAATTTTAATAAAAACTCTTCACTAGATTTAAAAATGAAAATGAATGAAAATTAGCTCCTAAAAAATAACTATAGACAAATCATTCAAAAATTATTTTTAAATCATTTTTCTAATTAAATTTTCGAAATATATGATTATGAAGATTATGAATAACTGAAATTTTGTAAAATATAATTGAAAATAATTGATTTTTTTCATCAAGTACCTATTTTATTACAATTTTTGAAAATCAACTTTTGAAGAACTTTAATTGCAAATGTTTAAAATAATTGAATTTTAGAAAATTTTGATAAAAAATCTTCAAGAGTAAATAGGTATATATAAAAAAAGTAATTCTTAGAATTTTTTAAAATTTAATTATTTTCAATATTTTCAGTTTTCTTTCAATTGTATAAAAATTCTTTAAAGAAATTCAATTATTTTCGAAAAATTACATTACAATATTTTTAAAAAACTAATTTTTAGAATTATTTTATAACATTAAAAATAATATAATAAATATAAAATTCTTTATAAGAATTCAATCATTTTTAATACAATAATTTTAATTCAGTTCGTCTACAAAAATTTCATTATATTTAAAAATTGTTAATGAATTCTTCAAAAAAATTCAAAAATAAAGAAAAAATTTAAATACAATTTTTCGGAAAAATTTTATTATTATTTAAAAATTGTAATTACCTACATTTTTTGAAAAAATTAAAAAAAATTATAATTGCAAAAGTTCAATTATTTTTTTAAATAATAAAATTATTCAAAGGAATTCAATTATTTTCAAAATTTTGTACTAAAAAATTCTTCAAAAAAATTCAATTATTTTCAAAAATTTTAATAAAATTCTTCACAAGAATTCAATTATTTTCACACATAAAGTTTTTCACAAGAATTCAATTATTTAAACAAATTTTAATAAAATTCAAAAAGTAACATTAAAATTTTTTTGAATCACTTTTAACATTTTGGAGAAAACAATCATAATGTTTAAAAATTTTCATTTAAAATTCTTCAAAAAAAAAAAATTCAATTGTTTTATTATAATTTTTTAAGAATCAATTATCGGCGAATAAAGTAAATTAAAATTTGTAAAAATTAATTTTTTATACTTATTGAAATTTCGGAGAAATAATGTTGATGAATTTATAATTGAAGTTCTTCTAAAATTTGATTATTTTTTATAGGTACCTATTTATCAAAACTTCAATTATTTTAAATAGCTTTTATCAAATTTCAATTATTTTTAAAAATTTTTACCAAATTTCAATTATTTGGAAATTTTTCAATTTTTTTCTCGTTTTTTTCGTTGATTAACGTTGTGGACTTAAACTTCGTCTTTATGCATTTTTTAAAAAAATTTTCCAAACGTATCCTTAAATTTTCTACTTCTTTTAGGTACCTTTCTACGGGTACACGTCACATACATAACTTTGCTAAAATTTGCAAGATTCTTGCACTTAATGAGAATGAAAAATTGAGAAGAATTTTCTTATGAGAAGTGTTTGAAACTCTTAAGGGGATGTGAATTCATTTGAAAATTAAAGTTGTAATCGACTTTTCGCGAAAATTTCCTGGAAACTGTGAAAACCGCTTCCATTTAAATTGTTAAAGCGATCAACATAATCATTTATCGGAACATCGTGCAATTCTGTGGGCGGTTTAACGCACGAAATGTCTTAGAATAATGGGGTGGCAACACGAATAAGTATTTACCAGCAATACGAGACAGAAGATTGTTAACTGCAGTGACGCCATGCCGCGCAGTCATGTATTCTCGAACTTTTCGAAGACTCCATTTATATCCATGTTTACTCTAAAAAAATACACAAAAAAAATAAAAGAAACATTTAAATATTTGTAAATTGCTTGGAGAAAAAAAGGGGACACAGGAAGCAAACATTTTGAGATTTTGTTTGTGTTTTTTTGTACTGCGACACTAAAAAGCAACTATTTTCTTTCATTTTTTTGATAATTTGCAGAACTTTACTATTAAAATCTGCTAATAATTGAAATAAAAAAATTATTCTTGCAAAAATTTTAATAAAATACTTGGAAACAATTAAAAAAATTTTAATAAAATTCTTTGAAACGATTCAATTATTTTCAACAATTTTAAGGACATTTTTTTTGCTAAAATTTAATTAAATTATTTTCACGTCGCTGAAATTTGCAATTATTTTCAAAAACTACTATTTTATTCAAATTTTTTAAAAGAATTCAATTATTTTTAATTCTTCGCAAAAATTTCAATTATTTTTTAGAATAATAAAATCTTTACAAAAATTCAATTAAATATTCATAATACAATTTTCAAAAAATATTCATCGTAAGAATTCAATTATTTTTATTACAGAATTTTAATTAAATTATTCGAAATAATTCAATTATTTTTTAGAATAATAAAATCTTCACAAAAATTCAATTAAATAATCATAATATACAATTTTCAAAAAAAATTCTTCGTAAGAATTCAATTATTTTTATTACAGAATTTTAATTAAATTATTCGAAATAATTCAATTATTTTTTAGAATAATAAAATCTTTACAAAAATTCAATTAAATAATCATAATATACAATTTTCAAAAAAAATTCTCCGTAAGAATTCAATTATTTTTATTACAGAATTTTAATTAAATTATTCGAAATAATTCAATTATTTTTCTTTTAATTTTAATAACATTCTTTGAAACGATTTAATTCGTAAGAATTCAATTATTTTTATTAATACAATAGTAGGTAATTAAATTCCAAGAAAAAATTTAATTATTTTCAAAATTTTTACTAAAAAATTCTTTAAAAATTCAATTATTTTCATAAATAATACAATTATTTGCAGTATTTCAATTATTTTTAATATCATTTTCAATTAATTCCTCGAAAAATGCAATTATTCTGAAAAATGATATTGAAAATTTTCGAAAAAAATTAATTTTCAATTATTTTCTTAAATAATAAAAATTGTTTAACAAAATTCAATTAATTCCAATACTATTGCAATTTAGCATTTCATTTTTTCAATTTTAGTAAAGTTTCTCGAATGAATTAAATTATTTTTAATTCAATTTTAATTTAATTCGTCGGAAAAATTATATTATTCTTAAAAATTGTAATTAAATTCTTCGAAAAACTTTTAAAAATATAATAAAATTTTTTGCAAGAGTTCAATTATTTTTAAAATAGTAAACTTCTTCGAAGGAATTTAATAATTTTCAAAATTTTTACAAAAAAATTCTTTACAAAATTCAATTATTTTCAAAAATTTACAGAAAATTCTTCACAAGAATTCAATTATTTTCACAAATACTAAATTTTTTAACAAGAATTCAATTATTTAAAAAAATTTAATAAAATTCTTTGCAATAATTAAATTATTTTTATAAATACTAAATTTTTTAACAGGAATTCAATTATTCGAAAAAATTTAATAAAATTCTTTGCAATAATTAAATTATTTATTTTTGTTCTTAAATAATTGAATTCTCGTTGAACTTTGTAATAAAAATTGATTTAAATAATTATGAATTTTATTAAAAAATTTTGAGAATATTAATTAAATATTTGAAGCGTTATAGTATGAATTTCTAGAAATAATTAAATTTCAAATAGATTTTTAAACTGAAGTCTGAAAATTTCATTATTTATACCTATAACTGTTGTAGTATTGAAATGTTTATTTTAAACTAATTTTTATTTTCTTAGAAAATTATTAAAATTTTGAATAATTTTATTCAAAAACTCAAAAAAAAAATAAAAAATGATTTAATTTTCGATGAATTAATTGCAGTTTGTAATTTTTGCGGATGTATAGTTATAAATTTCAAAAAGGTTTCTTATTAAAATTATTCAAGTTTTTAATTCCTTTGAAAAAGTAGATAAATATTTATATATTTATTTAATAGAAATTTGTTCGTACTTTGTATTATTTCATTTGAAAATTGAAAAAAAATTATTGATCTTTTGAAAAATTGTCATTAAAATTTGTTTAAAGATAGTTAAATTCTCGTAAATAATTTATGAAGATTAAATTAAATTTCCAATTAGTTGGAAATTTTGTCAAATTTAATTGAAATCAATTTTATTATTCAGAGTAGGTATACATTATTAAATATTTTTGAAATTATTTTTATATATAATCTTTTGTGAAAAGAATTCTTACTAAAAATTTGGAAAATAATTGAATTTTAGAAAAATTTAGAATCGAAGGTATAATGAATGAAAGTTAATATTTTTTTATGGAAATCTGTAAAAAGACAGAGAAATACTGAATCTTTTTTTTTTGACTCTACTAAAACGAGTTTTTTTTTTAGTGCGTCAATTTAAATTTCTTTTTAAAAATGTATTTTTATAAATCCTCTCATTATTTTCTCTATTTCGCTTTTAAAAACGTTGAGAACTTTAGCTTCATTTTAGAAAAAAATGTCAACTTGATTAATAGGTTAAAAGCACAAGGTAATATTTGTCGATTTTGCTGGTTAAAATATTGGTTTTCAAAGGGATTAAAGGTATTTATTAGGTCAATTAAATACTAGTTATTCAAGGTATTTGATAGTTTAATTAAATTGAATTAAATTAATTTATAGATGAAATGTGTTGGTCCGATTGTTGGTTAACGGAAAATTGTGAGAGGAAGAAACGGTGAGTGAGTGTGAAATGGGTATTTTGAGGTGAGAATTTTACCAGCTTTTACCTGAACATTCTCAGGTGACGAGTGTTTTTCATCGTCTAGCGATCTTCCTTTTAGTTGAATAGCCATGTTGGTTAGATGGATCCTACTGTCGTCGATTTTATCAAGCGCAAATAATTCGCCGGACAGCCGAGCAAAACCCTCTCTTGCCAACCACACCTTCAACGGATGAAAGGACGTGACTAGGACGTAAATGCGCAAATCAAACTTCCGCCCTGTCGATCGAAAGCAAAAAAAAAAAAAGAAAGAAAGAAAAGAAAAGGATACAATAACAATTTTTCCAAAGTTTATGCATCACAAGCAAGAAATACAAATGCCATTTGAAGTTTAAAGAGAGATTCTTTCAAAAATATTTTCTCTCCGCAAGAAAATATTATAGAATTTCCACCGAGAAAAATCCTTCTCAGATTTTCAAATATTTTCCATTTATTTTGTTTTAACTCTCAAAGTAAAATATTGAAATGGAAAATGACCTGCTAGCAAATATGGATTCTCGACATACTTTTGAACCACAAAAGTCTCGACTTTTCCTGCATTGGTGTGCGTTGTTGATGCATTTGCGGTTGATTCCTTTGGTTTCCATTCGTAAAGGTCTTTGAGTTTGCGGAAGAGAAATATTCCACGACCTTGAGAGCCGGTGACGGGTTTTACTATCCAGGTGGATCCCTGTTGTTTGCGGTATTCCTCGACCAACATTCGATATTCATTGGGTAATTCAAATGTTATTGGCATTGATGAACAAAATTTACCCTCATTCTGCTTGCCGGAGTTTATTAATAATTTCTCGTATCTCTTTAAATTTCGATAGAGATAATTCTTACGTGTGAGCTCGTAATGATTTCGAAAGTGCGGCACTCTTTGATGAGGTGCGAGTTTATTTTCAAAAGCCAAACGAATATCGTTTGTTTCACACCACCACAAATTCCAATCAGTATCATTCGGATCGTCTATCTGTGGATTAAATTAGATATTTGTAGGAAAATTCATTCAAAAGCAATTACAGGGTTTCCACAGGTCAGGGAAAGTAGAATTAAGTCGGGGAAAAGTCAGGGATTTTTATTAAAAGTACTGGAAAAAATTAAATTTTTAGAATTCATAAGAAAATTCTGAACTCTAGTATCTTTTTTTATTTGACTCATGAACTATCAAACTACCACGAATTCTAATACAACACCTTCAAAATTTTTTTCTATTTCTGAACAGAATGAATTTTTTAATATTATTTAATTATTTCAAAAGTTTTAATGCAATTATCTTGATAAATAACAAGATTCTTCACAAAGATTCAATTATTCTTGAATGCAAAATTCTTTGCGAAATTCAATTATTTTTATAAATAACAACATTCATTACAAGAATTCAATTATTTTCGAAAGTAATAAAATTCTTCGAAGAAATTCAATTATTTTAAAAAAATTTAAGGAATATTTCGTCAAGAATTCAATTATCTTTATAATTAGCAAAATTTTTCGCTAAAAATTCAATTATTTTCAAAAAATTTAAATCAAATTCTCTGCAAAATTTTAATTTTATTTTTAAGTTTTTCGCATTCGAATAATTTTCAATATTCACTATTTTCAAAAAATTTATCAAAGATTTAATTATTGAAAATAATGTTTGATACAATTCTACGAAACGATTCAATTATTTTCGTAAATAATAAAATTTCATTATTTCCACGGCAGGATTTTAAATATTTTTAATACAACTTTAAATAAATTACACGAAAAATGCAACTATTCTTAAAAATTTTATTAAAACTTTGACGAAAGAATTCAAATTGAAGAAATATTCAATATTATTCAATAAAATAGTAAAATTCGTTGCAATGATTCAATTTATTTTTAAAAAATTTTTCAAGTAATTTTGCAAAAGAATTTAATTATCTTGTTAAACAACAAAATTTTTCCCATAAAATCAATTATTTAAAGGAATTTTAATAAAATTCTTTTCTAAAATTCAATTATTTTCATAAATATCAAAATTTATTACAAGAATTCAATTTTTTGAAAAGTAATAAAATTCTTTTGCAGAAATTATATTAGTTTTAAAATTTTTTTTGAATTCTTGTTAATAATGAAATTATCTTTATAAATAGGTAGCGAAATTCTTCTCAAAAATTAAATTATTGGCAAAAATTTTAATAAACTACTTATAAAAAAAAATTGTCGTGAACATTTTAATTATCTTTATAAATGAGTAGCAAAATTCTTCGACAAAATACAATTATTTTCATAAATAATAGTTATTCATAAAAAGAATTCAATTATTTTCAAACGTAATAAAATACAGTTATTTTCCAAAATTTTAATAAAATTCATGGTAAAATTTCACCAATTTTCGAAATTTTTTCTTAATTCCATAATTTTCAATATTCTACTACTTTAATAGAATTTCCCAAAAGAATTTAATTATTAAACAAAAATTTTGATAATATTCTACACGAACATTAAATTATTTTCCAAATAAATGCAAATTTCACCGGAATTCAATTATTTAAAATAAATTTGCATAAATTTTTTCGAAAAATTCAAATGTTTTAAAATTTGGCATTAAATTCATCGCAATAATTTAATTATTTTCATATATAATAAAACTAATTACAGAGTTTCAATTATTTTTAATATTTAATTTTAATCGAATCCCTCGAAAAATGTATAATTATTCTTAAAAATTTTATTAAAATTTTGTCAAAAGAATTCAATTATTTAAAAATTTGAGGATAAAATTCTTTTTGAATTATTTCTCTAATTAAATTTTCGAAATATGTACAATGAAAACGATTTTAAATAAATGAAATTTTGTAAAATTTATTGTAAAATTTATTTAAAAATAATTCCTTTTTTGATCAAGTATATTTTATAACAATTTTTGAAAATCAACTTCTAAAGAACCTTCATTGCAAATTTTGAAAATAATTAAATTCTCAAAAATTTTAATAAAAAATCGACAAATGTAAACTTAAAAATGAAAATTTTCTGCTAAAATTATATTAAAATGTTATTGATTTTCCGAAATTCAATTATTTTCAAAAATTTTCTCAATTCAATGATTTTCAATATCTCTTATTTTAATAAAATTTATATTCTATTCAATTAGGTATTTAAAAAAATGTTGATAAAATTCTACGTGAACATTCAATTATTTTTATAAATAATAAAAATTTCCCAGTAATTCAATTATTTACAAAGTTTTTATAAATTTCTTCGCAATAATTCAATTATTTTCATAAATACTAAAATTTTTTTTACAGGGATTCAATTATTTTCATTTAAATAATAAAGTCTTATCGCAGAATTTAAATTATTTTTAATCGAATTCCTCGAAAAGTGTAATTATTCTTAAAAATTTGATTCGAAATTGTCAAAAGAATTCAATTCTATTTAAAAATTTGTTAATAAACTTCTTTATGAGAATTAAATTTTAAGAAACATTGAATTATTCAATAAATTATTTATTTTTCTATTTAAATAATTTTGAATTCTCGTAGAATTCCATAAGAAAAATTGATTAAAAATGAATTTTAGTTAAAATTTTAGATTATAATTAAACATTAAAAGGATTATAACATGAATTTTTAGAAATAATTGAATTTTGAAAAGGCTAAATTAAAATCTTTGAAAATCTGAATTTTTTATACTTTTTTTATTAATTTTTAATTTTCATACTTTTAACTAACAATTCTTTAGAATTAATTTTTTTTTGAAAAAGTTTAATTGAATGTTTTTAAAAATTTTTTTCAAGTTTTTAGTTTCATATTTAATTGAAGAATTTCCGAGTAATCGAAGTTTCGGGTAAAATTGAATTGTAAACAAATGGATTTGAAAATTCTCAAAGAACTTTTTCAAAAATTATTTTTTAAATAATTGATTTAACAAAGTATTTTAGTTAAATATATTTTGTGATGTTTTCGAATAATTTTACAATTATACAAAAATTCGTAAATAAATGTAAGAACATTTTTTTAGTATATCTAATCATTTTTAGAGTAAATCGCAGAATATTCTTTAGGGTTAGGGATTAAATTAAAAATCAAAATTATTAAATATTTTTTTGTTTAAAATCAACATAAAATTTTGATAAAATTAAGTAGTGTGTTCTCATAACTAGGTGCAAGTTGAAGCTTTATGAAAAATATTTTACTTTAAAATTTGATTTTCAAAATTAAGTGGGTGGCATGGAAATTTTAACAAAAATACGGAATTGAAGTTTATTATTCTTCTTCAAGGGGGAAAATGTTTCCATTTTGGATTGAATTCTAGTCGCTAATGAGATTTTTTTGCAATTTAACAAGAAGATAGCAGCAAGAAGACTGTGAAGTATGCAACTAAAAAGATTTATTAATGAGCATTTTAGTTTTCCTAATTGTGAAATGAAAGTTTTTCTTGAGAATTAAAGAAGAAAAATTCATTACTTAATTTATGAATCATATTTTACAAGTGTTCTTGTTATTCGTGTGTATCTAGTTTAGTGGGTCAGGGTGAAATGCGTTGATTACGTTTTTAGTCTTTCTGGTGGTTTTTTTTTAAAAATGCGGAGATTATAAATTCGGTGGTAATTCTCGATTACTATTTTTGGCCATTTTTATTTTTTTCCTCCATTTTCCTTCATCTCTAAAGATTGTTTTGCAATTTTTTGGAGTAAATACTTTTATTTTTTGAGAATAAATAGTTTCTTGTAAAGATATAACTGAGGCTAAATAAGGTATTCAATTTAATTACCTGAACCCAACCTCTTGCAAGCATCACCTTAACTTGCGTTGAGGGAAAGTCACAACGAAACTTGATAACCTTGTGATAGCGTCGCTTCTTCGCGTTAGGATAATGCTTCCTATCTGATATTGAAAATGCAGAGATCCATGAATTTATAATCTCGCCATTCTTCAGTAATTCCATTTTGCAAAAGTTTTCAACTCGAAAAGAAGAAAATAGGGTTAACTTATTTATGTAATTTTTTTTTTTTTTTTTTTTTTGCTCGACTCGAATCTCGAATTAATTCAAGTGTCAAATTATGTTCGTTTGTCTTTTATTTTTACATTGCAAACATTTTTACGCAGTGTAAGTTTTTCTCTTCATTTGAGGGAAATTTGTTTTTGTTAATAATTTTTTTTTTTTTGCGAAAATTGTGAGAAAATATTTTTTTTATAAATTATCTGTTATTATTTTATTGCAGAATTTTGATATTTTTAGATTTATTATTAGATTTTTTGTTTGCGATTTAAGATAAAATTAAGATAAAATATAGTGAAATTAAATAACTTTTGGGAGAATATAATAATAAATTTTGACAGAAATTGCAATGGGGACTATAATGGTCTACTTAAACTTCATCAAAATAACACAAGTCTTGCTTTCCGGTCAGAACAAAGTTTGGAGTGTGATTCTGCGGTAGCTTGAAATATATATATATATATAGGTGGCATAAGGACGTCTCTGTAGTTGTATGACGTTAAGCACATAACTTGAAGTCATAACCCACCGTTTTCACCTCATGAGTTTGCGCAAAGGCATTTAAATCTTTAGAGAGAGAGACAGAGATCACTAAACACTAAATGTATTCAAATCCTATTTTGTAATTAGATTTACGCATTACGTTTGTGTACTCGAATCGCATTTTGAATAATTAATGGAATAATGAAAATCTCTGGAACTTTGAAAATTTAATTTTACTTTTCTGTTTTTCATACTCGTAGGAAGTTTGCAATGATTATTAATTATTCGTATTATTATTATTATTATTATTATTATTATTATTATTATTATTATTATTATTATTATTAAGTAGAATTTTGTCTGATTTATTGTCTTTGTCTACTTACAAATAGAATTTTGTCTGATTATTTGTCTTTTACTGCTTAAAATTAGAATTTTTATTGATTAGTTGATTTTTACGACTTAAAAAATGAATTTTGTCTCATTAATTACAGAGTACGTATTTCAAAATTAATTCAATTTTAAAAGAATTGCGTTTACAATTTTCATAAGTAGATGAACTTTAAAAGATTTTGACTTAAAATTTTGTGAAATTTCAATTTTAAATTAATTTAATTAGAAATATTATAAAAAAAACTTAGATTTAAAAAAAATTTTTTAAACTAAAATTCTTCTGAAATTAGTTAAATTTTTAAATATATATTCAATTTATTATTAAAAATAGTGGATTTAATTAATAATTAATAATTTTAATTGAATTTTGAAGCTATATTACAAAGTTCAATTATTTTCAGAAGTATAGTTAAATTCTTCTGGAAAAATTCAATTATTTTCAAAAATTTTAATAAAATTCTTGACAAAATTTTAATTATTTTCAAAAATTTTCAATTATTTACAAAGTATTTTCACATATTATTCAATTATTTTCATAAAAAATAACATTTTTTACAGGGATTTAATTATTTTCATAAATAATAAAACTCTATGCTGAATTTCAATATTATTCTTAATACAATAATTTTAATGGAATTCCTTGAAAAAAGTTATTAAAAAATTTTATTAAAATTTATAAAAGAAATTTAATTATTTTAATAACCTTTGCTACAATTTATTTATTAGAATTTAAGTATTTATTTTAAATACATTTTTAATTAAATTTCTCTAAAGAATAAAAGTATTTTAACAAAAATTTTAATGTAATTCTTTGCGTAACAATTCAATTTTTTTCACAATAATTTTTATAAAATTCTTCGCAGAAATTCAATTATGCTTAAAAATTTATACAAATATTCTTGTCAACATTTCTATTATCTTTATAAATAATAAAATTTTTCTTCGAAATTTAATTATTTTCAAAACTATTAATAAAATTCTTGGCAGAATTTCAATTATTTTTAATACAATTTTCATCAAATTTCTCGAAACATGCAATTATTCTTAAAAAATTTTATTAAAACTTTGTCAAGAGAATTCAATTATTTAAAAATTTGTTGAAAAAATTCTTTATGAAAATTCAATTTTAAGAAACATTCAATTATTTAATAAAATTATTAATAAAATTAATAAAATATTATTAATTAATAATAATAATAATAATAATAATAATAATAATAATAATAATAATAATAATAATAATAATAATTAATTATTAATAAAATATTTATTTTTGCAGTTAAATAATTGAATTCTCGTAGAATTTTCTAATAAATATGGATTTAAAAATTAATTTCAAATTAAAATCTTTGAGAATTGTAACTTTTCATACTTTTAATTAAGAATTCTATAGATTTAATTTTTCTCAATAAGTTTAATGGAATTTTTCAAAATTATTTGAAGTTTTTAATTTCTAATATATTTAATTGAAGAATGTCAGAATAATCGAAATTTCGTAAAATTAAATTGTAAACAAAAAAGTTAATAGTTTTTTTTAGCCTATTCACAAGTAGAAATTTGTCAGATTATTTGTCTTTTACTACTAAAAGGATTAATTTTTTCTGATTAGTTGACTTTAACTACTTAAAACAAGAATTTTTCTGAGAAGTAGACTTTTACTTCTTAAAAATATTGAATTATTTCTGATAAGTTGTCTTTAACTTCTCGATTGATTTATTTTGTCTGACTACTTGCCTTTTACTACTTAAAAGTAAAATTTTGTCTGATAGTTGTCTTTTCCTGCTTAAAAGTAGTAGTTTGTCTAATTAGTTGCCTTTGCCTACTCATAAGTAGAATTTTGACTGATTATTTATTATCTTACTACTTAGAAGATGAATTTTTGTCTGATTAGTTGACTTTTACTACTTAAAAGATTAATTTTTATCTGATTCGTTGACTTCTACTATTGAAAATGAAGAATTTTGTCTGATTATAGTTGTCTTTTACTACTGAAAAGATGAATTTTGTCGCATTTTTGTATTTTACTACTAAAAAGTAAATTTTTTTCTGATAGTTGTCTTTTACTATACTTAATAGTAGAATTTTGTCTGATTAGATGACTTTTACTCCTTGAATAATTAATTTTATCTGATTGATCGGCTTTTACTGCTACTTAAACTATAAACTGTAATTAGACCAGACATTTTACTTTTGGATTTACGAAAATAAATGTCTGCACATATTCTATACTTAGAAAATGAATTTTCTCATTTACTTTAAAAAAAAAAAAATAGAATCCGATCCGTACCAAAAAATCGATATTCTAAATTTAAGAATATAATCTTGGCTCTTATTTAAGTATATTTTCCATGTATTTTACTCTTAAAGTTAGAATATAAATTCTATTAAAATAGGAAGAAGTTTATTAAAATAAGAATATTTCTTATAAGATACTTTTTCCTATTTTAATAATTTATTATTAATAATTATTAATTTATAAATAATAAGTAATTATTAATATATAATAATTAATAATTAATAATTGATAATTAATAATTAATAATTATATTAATATATAAATAATTAATACTTATTAATATATAAATGATTAATAATTGTTAATAATTTTAATAATATTATATTTTAACTTTAAGAACAAAATACTGGGAAATATATATGCTCAAATTGGTGCCAAAATTATATTCTAAAATTTAGAATATGGTACATATGTATGTTAAATGCAAAGCATATATTCTTAATTCATTGGCTCGAATTTAATATGTATCACAATAGTGCGGAATTTATATTGAACCGAAATTTCGAGGCCACGAAGGGAATTATAAAAAATTAATTAACGCAAAATGATTTACGGAAACGTGCGTATAAATAAATAATAACAATTTCTGCTGATGAAGACATGTTGTTATGTATATATTGCTTCGCGTGAACGTGACGTAGGTGCTCCACATTCTGGAGTATGAGCATCGAAAGACGAGCGTGTGATAGGTATAAACTTGAGAATATATATATTTGAAGGTGTAAAGAAATAAATATATATACATAAGGGTATATAAATATATTTCTTTATATTATTAGTAGTATATAATATGTGTATATACTATATATATGATATATTTTTATATACTAGTATATTTTTTTATATATATATAGTAGCAGTAGTAGTACAGTACTAGTAGTATATTATATGTATTCCTGAATATATTAGTAGTATATATATATATATATATATATATATATATATATATATATATTTTTTTTTACATAAGTAAAGGTATATATATCGCCTCCTCTCCTGCGAGTGACGAACCACATATTTTAGTGGGAGAATTTTCCAGACCTTCCTCGATGTCTGAGTCGCGCCAAAACCTGTAACAGGATCTGCAATGGCAATCCGCCTACTCTCTTATATATACCCTACCTATACGTGCTGTCTGTTCCTCCAGGGCAGTCAATGAAGGAACTCTCGCGTATTGGTACATCACATATATCCACATGTATTCTATAGGCCTCTCGTTCAGAAACGTGACTCCCGAGGCGAAAGTGTCGAGCCACACATATATATAAAACGAGACGAAATACATATAAGCGTGATGCAGGCTGCTAAATGAAGATTTTCATCTTTTATACATATATACATAGGTGCTAGCTCCGTTGATTCATCATCATTACATCAATGAAATAATATCTTCCTCCTTTTTGCATTCAGATTTTCTAATCAAAAATGATCTTTTTATTTGTTACTTCACTAGAATATAGACTGCAAAAACAGGAGCGGGATTTGTTTTTTTTTTTTTTAATTTCTTCTAATATGAGAACAATGTGTCGCTCAATCAAAACCAAATTTTTTAGTCATATTAACATAATTTAGAAAGAAAAATAAACAAAATCTAGATTAACTAATCAATTAGTCATTTTTTCTATACTGAAGAAAAATTATTTGATTCAATTAACCAATTAATTGACTATTATCAATTAAATATTTACTTGAATCAAAATAATATTTATTGGAGTCAATTAAATTGTATTTGAATCAAATAATATTTATTGGAGTCAATTAAATGGTATTTGAACCAATAATTTTAGAATTTGAAGCAAATATCATTTAATTGACACCAATAAATTT